GGGGCGGGGCGCGCGCGCGCCCTGGCGGCCGTTGGCAGCGACGCCGAGGCTGCCTCGAGGCCGCCATTTGCCCCAGCGGATAGGCCACGTTGGTGGGGCAGGAGGAGGGTCTCCCTTCGCTCTGCACTCAGCAAAAGCCATCAAAGATGACTTAGAACATCAACCACTTTCAGTTCTCATCAAGAGCTACTTCTGCCGCTGCGTTTCGCTCCCACCGTGTCTCCCTCAGAGCCCTGCCACCAGTGCTGGAGGGCTCTTCTGCCCTTGTCTAGTTGTCCTCTTGTCACAAGAGAGAACATTCTGTGTCAGAGATGCCTTACCCTCACTGAGAAAACCAAGTTATTCAAGCTTGACTCTACTCCCTTTCAGCAGGCATGTCTGCCTCAGCTTTTCTGCTACACTTTGTTGTCTTCCTCGTACATGTGCCAGGGGAAAGTGCCACACGGGCCCATTCCCACTGCTGACGAGCCCTGGCAGCTCCTTGGCTGTAGATACAGCCACTTTCTGCCTGAGGTTTGACCTCACCGCAGGCGGGCCATTTCCTGCGCTTCAGAATGGTCTGTGCTCTGAAAATCATCTATCAGGATGCTCAGCCAGTGCTGAGGGCAAGGGCACATTCACAGTCTTAGGGAAGATGGCTACCCACTTTATTACAGATTTTACCAGTAGAAAATCGATTAAGATGACTTCATTCTATGGAAAAATGACCTAAAAGGTCTTCCAAAAATTTCTATTAGTCTTAATGTTACACTAGAAAAGTCATTGGCAGTTGTTTTTCAGCATGTCCCTCTTCTCTCACTTAGCCAAGTCCTTGACTACAGTATGGGCTGTAGCACTTAGCAATCAGGGAACAGACAGGAATGCCATGCTGGGCTGAGCACACAGCTGACAAACTGGTCTTGACGTCCCAATTCTGGCAAAAAAAGCACTCAGGTGTTCCTGAAACCATTATGCAGGTTGGAAGGCAAACATGCCTGCTTCTGGTACAAAGTGCTAGGGGAAAAGAGAGCTTGTTCCTGTTTTTTTTTATGTATGCATTAAAGCAATACTTAAATCATTTTCACCATATCAGTAACTTAAGTGTATTGATTCTTTCAGACAGTGATTTACTCTACAGATGAGTTTGTAAGTGTGCTGGCGTGCCACAGTGCAGGTTTCATTTCAAACAAAACTGACTCTTAAAATGTGACATCCTACCATCACCAGAGTATATGCTGTAACAAAAAAGAATATTTAATTTTAAAGGATTAAAAGATGCTTTCTTAGTACCTGCCCACAAGCAGCAAACTGTAAAACTAGAATTCAGTTTAGAAGATTTGTAATACCAGTGCTTACTGTTTCATTGTAAGTACAAGTTCCAAGGTCTAACAGCCCTTCTCCTTACAAAGCAAAAAGTGCACTACACATTTAAGTGAAAAATTACAGATTTGATTTAATGTCAGTTTTTAACTTTGGTGTCTAAAAGTCCATATTATTTCTGAGAAAATATGCTAATGCTATGCTAAGCCAATCAGCAGTAACATTCAGAGCCTGCAATTTGACAGAATGCTAAATTTAACATTACGACTCCTAGAACTAAATTAATAAAATATGCTACAGACATGTAAAGCAATCACCAGCATAATTTTACTTTGTCAATTCCAGTCAGTTCAAGTTGGTTTACAACATTGGACAAGCAACTTTGGCAGAGATCAGGTATCATTTGTTCATGTCCCTCTAGTTTTATGCCAAGTCAGGTGTGTCTTGGCAGCTGGCACAGAGATAATAAACTCTATAGTGTATGCCAAGATAACATTGCAGAAACTCCTTCCCAAGCCCACACTGACCCAAATACCATGTAGGACAGTGCACAGATCCATTGCTATGGATTGTGGAACCACTGATTGAGTTGTGTCTTAGAGGCACATATCCCATTTCATGCGTGTTGTAGCAAATGCTGATGTGACACCCAAAGCTAACTTCTGGAGGTAGCTGCATTGCCAGTGTTTGGTTGGTTGGTTTGTTTTTCTTCTCAATTTTGCTGCAAACAAAGTAACAAGTCTCAAAGGAAGAAAGAATTGGCACTGTGGCACAGTACTAGCTCACCCATAGTAGGACTAGGCATTAGGTAAGGTCTTACCACCATGCAGAGAACAAGATGTTATCAGTCTGCCACAGAAGGGCCAGAACACAGTTTTGTCATCTTTTCTTTTTGACTGTGCTGGAGTTCTTCAAGGGCTGGTCCAAAGGCCGGCTGCAGCCTGCAGGGCCCCACATGGCTCTGCAATGGGCAGCCCAGCCTGCAGCAAAGAGTCCCATCAAGAGACTCTGCTCCACCCTTTTCCCCTGTCCTTGGCAGGGTTGTGGGAATAGGGGCGCTCTTTGATCAGGCCAGCCTGAGAACAGACTCAGGCAGGAAACTCATCACCAAAATCACAGGGTTGCTGCAGGACAGCCTTGCTATCTCAGGGCTGCAGACAGGAGCCTGGATTGCACAATGTCCTGCACAATGTCTCTATTCCAAGGGCTGTCCGGGCACTTGGGAATACGCCCAAGGATGCTCCCAGCACCACTAAAGGATAAGAATACACAGACCTGCCAGGCATAGCACTGTCCAGAGCCCATGTTTCAAGCATCCCAAAGACAACAGCAGCTGGTAAGAAGTCAGCAGCACCCAAAACAGGTCCAGGATCCCCGAGATTCTTGTGACAATATTATCCTCCTTCCTCAGGGTTGGTGCCAAAGCTCCACAGTTATTACGAATACAAATGTTCATCAAATGGGGCAAGATTTAGGGTTGACTAATGAGTATTCATATTTACAGATAAAGAAGGGCCCATCAATACTGATATACAATTCTGACTCTTTCAGACTCTCTAATAAGAGAAGGCAGAGGTAACTATGCTGCAAGCTTCATTCAGCTATTTCTAGTGGAGTCTTCCAGGAGAAAATTAGTTAGTTCTGCTTTATCTTACTGGTTCCAGTGTGAGTTTCCTCTTGCATGGACTACACCTCTAAAGTGTCAGCAAATACTGCTCAGCACGCTAGAGGCAGGCAATTACAGAGAGACTGCAGTCTCTGACAGGTGAAAAAGACACTGGAGGAAAATCTAACTTGCATTCAGCTTGCTGAGCAGGCACAGATGAACTTTATATTGCGTGAATTCAGAGGCAGATGCTCTCCAGAAAGACCAAGTACCTCATGCACGAACAGCATAGAAGAGCTCAAGGAGTGAACCCTTGATGTTGAATTGGAATGTGATGAGAAATACTGCAGGAAGGAGGAGTCATTTATTGCAAAACCAGAAGATTGAATCCTAAATTCACAAAATGCCACGAGTTAAGATTTGGAGGAGGTTTTTAAGCTGTGCTGCTAGTCAGAATGATCTTTCTCAAGTACTCAATTTTAGGAACAGGAGAAGAACATGAAGGACTGAAACAAATACCCACACGCTCTAAGAATTCACTAATAAAATGCCATTTTAATAACTTTTTACAAGGAATCCAGCTATACACTATAGAAAAATAAACACAGAAGACTCTTCGCAACTTACAATATAGTGATGCAGGCACACTTCAGCTGTTAACTTAGTAATAATTCCACATGAGACTGTAAAACATTATTCTTAGTGAAAAGTAATTTCCTTTTAAAATACTAAAATATAGTAAAAAGTCATATAAAAATCTGATGCAAAAGCACTGCATAGACTAATACCCCTTTATTCAGTTGCACAAGAAATCACAAGTGCCTCCATTCACTAGGGAGCAACTTAGAAGAAAGCAATAACCTGGGGGCTTCGCAGTACAGATTTCAGAAGTGTTCTGATCACTTTTTTGTGTTTCGCTGGCGAGGCGATCCTGGAACTTGTCCTAAATTCAAATGAAACAAACAAGTATTAGAAAACTGTCCTTATGATGAAACAACAGGGTACAGTTAGCAGCATGTAATTTCCCCAATATGCTATATACGAACTATGCTGAAAGCAATTACTGTTTTCATGGGCCACCTAAGAACAATACAAAACAAGATTTGAAAGCTTGCGAGCCTGCCAGAGCCAATGTTCACACTAGGATCAGTGTTCATACAGGCATATTTTACACAGAACAGGAAGACTGCTTCATTCAGATCTTTCACTCTTGTGATGATTCAGCAGGCATTCCTTTGCTGGACAACATATTTTAACACAATATATTAAAGCTCATTGTAAACTGGAAACTTGTATTGTAAAGGTTACAAAAACATTCCTTAAAAATCTGCTATGTACTGAAAATTTGGAAAATGATAGGCACTTTCCTCCAAACTGTGACTGAGTTCCAGTCAGGTAAGTTTTTCACATTTGACATGAAAGAAAGTACCTTATCCTATGAAGTGCTGTCAAATTTCAGTTTCAATTTTAAAACTGAAACCAAAACAAACAAAAAACTAACTCTTATCCACTTACCCACCTTTATCTCTGAAAGATTGAACTTATTAAATAAAAATGTCATTCTTGGACTAGTTTTAGATACGAGTTATGAAAAAGTAAAGTTTCACTTCAGAGACATACTTACTTATTCCTCCTCCTTCCCCTCCCCCCAGAAATTTTGATTAAAAAGTTTCTCTTGACATTCTGTAATTGTTAAGGGATATGGGAAATGTTAAGGGATATGTAATTATTAAGGGATTGTAGGAGACACTTGCAAAAAGAAGCGCAAGCTGGGGAGAGCTCTGAGCGGTGGCAGGGTCCCCTTACCTGGCTGCACGCCGCCGAGTCTTTGCTGGATAACCTCTAAGCGATGAATGTATTCGGTGAGCGATCGTTCAGGATCCTGAGTAGATGCAAGGGACTTTTCTGAAGCTGAACTCATGGATGGCTGCAATCTTCAAAGGCAAACAAATTATTTCTTTTGTTAAAGCTCTGGTCATGCACTCAGATATAATAAAAGTAAATTTATACGGCCACATAATACAATAGAAAGCAAACTAGAGGATCAGTACAAAGTTATGTATACCTGCGTTTAAGACAAAGCAATAAAGACTGGACAGCTTTTGTGCAAGGGAGTCAAAAAGGAAAGGATGTTTTTGATAAAAGCTGGAGGATCTCAAGCCCGCTCCACTGAGAAGCACTGATAAGTCCCTCAGGTAAGAAAGCTGCAGTCAGAGAAACTCCAAATGGCCTAATGAAAAAGAACTGCTTCTAAGGAGAAGGACCAAAATGCATCTGCAAAGAGGTACCAGTCTTCCTGCTTCAGCAGGTAAAAGATCATCTTGAAAGTACAACTCAAAAAAGCTCAGGGAAGCTCTCAGATGCCAAGCTGAGGAGGAGTGATGTGGGAGAAGACGACACGCTATGGACCATGCGATACTAGAGGTTGCATTGGTTACAACAAGATCTAGCCCTCAAAAAGGACTAGCAGACATAGCCACTCCAAGTACCTCAATCTGTTCAAATTACTTTTGGGGTATCACTAGGAAAATTCTCTGTCCAAAATCATCAGATGTTCAAAGCAAATAAGTTTTTTTTGTTTCCGGTAGCATCTTGAAACAAATGAAACATTTATCAGATCTGTGAAAACAAATTCCTCTTCTTGAGTGTTTTTCCCCAATAACTGATTAGATTTTTATGAAAGCCTGTCCATCAGGATGATTAAATATAATGCAGAGATTACACACTGACCTGTTATGTAACCAGTAAGAGGATCTGGGGGAGGAGCTCAGAAATCTTGCGGAGCTGGTTCTGTGGCATGATCCAGTATCTCGCGTTGGAGGAGAGTTGGTAGTAACAGCTGGGAACTGCTGCCGTTTCAGGATTTCTGTTCTAGCACCAGGAACTGTATTAAATATAGAAACAATTTAAAAGTCTGCACTGAGAATCATTCAAAGCAGCCTATTAGAAACACAATCAATAAAAACCTACAAGAAACACAGCAAAGTTTTGTGTGGTATTAAACACAGCTATATAAAACACATTATAGATGATTGCTTTTTTTGCCAGAATTAACAGCAGTTCAACACTTTCACGTTCAGTTAATGTTTCCTGCAAACTGGAAACACTTTCAGCGTTTTCTTTCCCACACTTGCATTTTCATCACCTGTTATTATATGTGCACAGGAGACATTCCAATGACTCATATGAACAAAACAATTTTTTCAGGAAATCGTAATACCTGTTGTGTGCTCTAACTATAGGTGTACGTGTTGACTGGCACTCTCCTTTAAGGCAGGAGAGTAGGTAGGGAAAGGAAAATTAAAATGAAAGTACTTCACATTAGTCCTTTAAATCACCAAAAGAAATCAAATAAATTTGAATGAGGCTGCTAAGATGCTATTTTCTGGCGAGTTATAAAGCTTGGAATGCATTTGAGGATTCAATTTCCATAGGAACCACATCACAGAACTACATTAGACTTTTTTTTTTTTATTTCAATTAACTTAAAGATTGAAGAGACTATAATGTACACACATACAAGGTGATGAAAATCGCACTTCTACGTCTGTAGTATGTTTAGGGTTAAAAAAAGCCTCAAGTATAATATTATGGAGCATTACATATAGTGGAATATTACATATAACATAACATTGTGTAATATTTTAATATATTACACAAACACGTCCATAAGGAATGAAAAGGAATGAAGCCATGACCAAACTGCATTGGATCACACATTTGTCTGCTCTAGTTTGCCATCTATGATGACACTAAATAAACTCTAGAAAGTATTTGCTGGGTGGGTATCTGTCATCAGATGAAGTCTTTTCTAAATTTCTGGAGAATTTAATACTTTTTCACCTCCAGCAACACAAACATATGCACCCCATCTGAGACTTTGGTGTTTTTGACATTTCATGTGCCAATTTTGATACCATTACACTAGGATTTTTCCTGGCTTTATAAATAACTCATGGCAGTAATTTCCATTACAGGTAGCTTTAAATAAGGAGGAAACAATTTTCTGATCTGTTTTATGAATAAAATGACTCTGTTTCATAGCTTGAGTGGTTGTAATAAAGAGTTGGCTGCTGTTAAAATAAGTTTTGCAAGTTTTCAATTACGAGTTTTTACAATGTCATTGTAAAGTCAAAATCATTATGTTTTGGAAATAACAGAGATCTGTTTACTACTTTTGTGCATTTTGTTTGTTTGTTTAAATCAAGCTTTGTTTAAATCAAGCTTTACTACAAAGAAGTTAGAATTAGAAAAACATACTCGTTCAAAACCCTTACCTGGATTACATCCTGTACTGTGAGAGTTAGTTTCACCCTGTGTGCTCTTTCGATTAACTTTGTTCCACTTTTTCACCAAAAACTTTAACCTGAGTAGCAAAAGAAAATTGTACAACCATTAAAAACAAACAAAACATTTTAATACTAACATTTTAACATTAATAATAATGTTTTAATACTTTGTTAGTGTAAAACAACATAGAATGCAACAACATAAAGCAACAAACCTTGAAGGAATGGAGAAAGAACAGCATATTTCAACTTAGGTCTACAGAATTAACTTATAACCTGTAGTATCCTATGATACAAACAGATTATTTTTTCATGAATGAAACGTACCATAAAGATAGATCTATGCATCTTAGATAAAGACAGTGACAATGAGCCCAGACAGATCAAGATAAAACTTGGAAAGACATAGATGCAGTGGTATTTGAGAATCAGAGAATGACAATTACAACTGTATGTCTTTCTCAAAAGGACAGAAGTGACTTTTTAGAAAGTTTCATTTTAGCCTACGTCAAATTTAGCACTGACTCAGAGACAGTAGCTTGGCCACAGTTATGTTTAGTTGTCATGTTTGAAACCTCATTTCAAATCACGTATTATAATGAAACGCTGCAGAAGAAATTCAGAAGAATAAACTGGAAAAACTTTTTTAATATATCCAAGCAAACTGCATGAGAGTTTTGCTCTCACTGTGCTTTGTTTTTACCTTGATATGGCGATGATCACCCGGACTGCACATCGAAACTTGGTGAAAGGACGGGAGTGTCCAGAGAGCTGCAGGTCTGCAGGGGAGGGGTAGATCCCCATACGTGCTATAAGAGAGAGGGTTGCTTGCTCGCAGTCCTGAAATCCACCGAGAAGCAGCAAGAGGTATTTCTTCTGATAAACCAGAGCCTTCCTAAAGCTCTCTGCTCGCAGATACTTCCTATATAATCTCTGCATCTAGTGGTGGGTAGAGAAGAGAGGAGGAGGATATTAGACTTTGGCAGTTTGGAAGCCATATATAAAAGTTTGCATGTGTCTATGAAGTCCTAGCTAGGCTGAAGGAATCTTGCTGACAGGAGGGCAACTGGAACAACCCTCTGTACCCACAGTTACAGCTAAATTAAAATGCTTTAAATTTTCTGAAAGTTTCAGAGCAAAATTCTCATACCTGAAACTCTGACATGGTTTTAGTTTTTAAGTATTAAAACAGAACCTTTATCTGTACTTATTAACCAGAAAGTGTATTAGAATGAGCACTCCTCTAATGTGCTTATAATCAAATTTATCTTAAAAATAAGAAAAGATTATGAAAAATTTTTAATAATTTTGCACATAGAAGATACATAGATCTCTCAGTATTAGCTGTAGAAAAATCCCAAAGAGTTAAGGTGATAACTTTTGATGCAAGTTTCTCTCCAACACCATGAAAGTTATAAAGGAATATCTCTGATAAGGGATAATTGAGGAACAGCATTCCCAATTTAATATGCAGTTTATAATGACATTCTCTATAATGACATTCATCTTTTTAAAAGGCAACTGAAAAGACTGTGGCAATAAGGGAAAGTTAAATGTCATAATTCGACAGTTACTGCTGTTCTCAGAAATCTGAGCTACAGACTTCCAGGCTCCTCAGCAGCAGCAAGCTTTTTTAATATTCATAATAAAGAAAATTCAAATGGAGCCTAAAATAGAACTACTAAATTGCTTAACTTACTCTGGATGTGCCATTAATCACTTAGGCAATACCGCTGAGCGGTGATACCGAGGATGGAATTCTCCAGAGCTTTATGTGATCTTGAGCTGGTAACAGCTCTCTCAAAGTTATTTTACAGCAAATCCGTACAACAGACAGGACACTGGAAGGCAAGCACGATCATTTTACCTTTGGGCTGGAAGATTCTACCCCTGGCTTGTTTTCAATTTCAGCAGTAGCTTTAGCCAGTTCAGACTCTGCCTGTTTCAAGGCACTCTGCAAAATGCCTTTTTCCTGCTGCCAGGCAGCTCTTTCCAGTTCTTGAAGAGAGTCAGTATCATCTGGCACTCTGGTCTGAAAGGGAATCCCAAAGACAGCGAGCTGTGATTGCTCTTGCATGCTACTTCCACAGGTCAACATCTCAAACTGAGGAATAATCTAATTTAATAAAGAAACTAGTACATAAAAAACAGTAAGACAAAAACAACAGTACTATCCAGATGTTAAATGGTAGCATGGGAAAGTGAAGTAAAAAATCAGTCCATGTTAAGAGTTTAAGAGTTATGTTAATCAAATTGCAGATCCATTCACTATAGATCTGTCAAATCAGCTTTGCAGGGATCCTGTACATTTTAATGACAACAGCCCCCCAGAGAGTTAGAAAGGGAAATAAACCATCTTACTTCCTTCCACATGCACAAGAAGATGAATTAAAAAAAAGATGTAAAGAAGATGTCCACGTATAAGGATGCATGTAGCAACAAACTCTGAAGCATCCACAGGACTAGACTTTAAAAAACACATTCAGATCAGTTTAGTTTTGCAGTTAGTCATCTCTTGTAGGAATGAGACCCACAACTTCAGGTTCAGCTCTTGGCAAAGTTCTATCTTCATATCCCTCTCATATTGATCATCAATTTAATGGTCAACAGTTACATGAATGGGAGATGCAGCAGATCACAAAAAAGAGTAAAGCTATTTTTTTAGGTGTGTAGTGTTTTCTTGCTTGAAATGAAGTCAATATATTAGTGACACAAGTGCCAAAGCCAATCTCTCCTAGTAACTTAATCTAGGAAAGCACAGGGGAGGTTTTAAGGGGTTTAAACTTTTTCAGGATATTCCAGTTGGTTATTTCTTCCTCTCCAGGTTAAATTCTTGCCCTGTACTTACTAGGCAAATAATAGTTGTTTTATAGATTATAGATTATCTATAAGTTAACTGGTAAATAAAAGTTAATTCAAAAGTTATGTTTTTAAGGTGCATTTTCTACCAGTAAACCTTAGTTTAATCTTTGATTAGTATCTGTAATACTGCTCATCTCCCCTCTTGAGACAAAAAACCATGAGTGATTTTTTCAAGTTATTTGACAATCTGTTGAAAACTAAGTGTCTCTGGTATGCAGTGTCCTGCAGACAGAGCAGGAGGCAACACATGCCAGGACTTGATATCCTCCTTGATAATCTTGATATAGTACATGGCTAGGGTAAAAAAAATAACTTCAATAAGCAAACTCTGTGATATAACAAAAAGGAGATATCTGCTACTAAAACATGCTGATAGATGATAACTATACACGAGTTTCCCATCCTTTTTTTTTTCCCTCTAAATCTTCATCTCCAAAAGAGGACAACAATTTCTCTAAATTTTTCAAATAACCTCCAGAACCCTCAAAATACAAATATATCTCTCATGTACTGGAACCCACATGATACACAGCAACTTAAGCAACAAACATCTGTCATTTCCTTACCAGAGGTGCCGGAGGAGACAATAAATTTGATTTTAGTTCCTTTAATGTCTGCAGTAAAGAGGTTACAGCTTCATCATTCGATGCAGACCAATCATTAACTGCTCTGTTAAATAGAAATAATTTTTCAACATTAGGTTCTTTTTTGTAGCAATCTCATATTATACTTATTACATTATACTTATTCCCCCTACAGAGTTTTTATTTTCCAGTGTGTCTTTCAGTACTATTTAGCACACAGCACTAATGGACACACAATGAAATTGGTAAATTTTATTCGTTTTTAGGAGCAGAATTCTAAATAATGTTGCATAAGGATTTTATCAGATGTTGAATATTTCACACCAGGGTCAAACTCCATCACATTGTTACATTGGTTATAACAAACCACCGGTATTTTACTCTAGCAATACAAGTTACTATCTGAGTAATCACTGAGTGATTCCCAAGCTCAGTGGAGGTTCCCATCCTGATCCTATAGATATGTGAATAACCTAGTTTTTGACAGATCTCTCTTAAATTTGGTAGTGACCAGTCTAACACACAACTCTTTCACAAGGCTTTTTGCACAGTGGTTCTTTGGAAGAGGGACCATGTCCCCAGCCCACTTGAAAAGCAGGTGCACAAGCACTTCCATCACTACAACTAACACACAACCCCAGAAGCTTCTGATGGGAATGGCAGAGCAGCAGGATAGCAACCTGCCAAATGGAGACTGCTACCACCGTGCAACCATGATTTCAAATAAGATAGATCGTGTAAACAGCTGAGATGTATTACTGCTTATTCGCTTCAGTAGGGGGCTTTTGGACATGACCCAGGTTCAAAAGCAGGACAGAAACAGAATTACTAGATTATAAGCAGTGTTTCAGTAACTACTCACTTATCTGCAGTTTTGTATATGAACTCGTTCAGACGGACAGCTACAAAAAGCAACTGCTGTCTTATCTTCTCTAGCTGTTGTTGCTGCTGTTGCAAGTGCAGCTTCTCAGCTGCTTTTGTCACAGCCTGTTTGGTGTTTCGATTGCTGTTCAAAGAGTGCAAAACTTCTGGCTGAGAATTTGGAGGTGGAAAATTTCTTTCTCTTTCTTCTAGTAATGCCAGTATTTCCTGCAGCTCTTTGATCCTGTGTTCATCCCTCTGGTGTTGCAGTTCCAATTTTTGCTGTTTAAATAGAAATAAGAAAAAGTGACTTGCAACTTAAAATACTATACATACACACACACATATATACACACACTTCTACAAATATACAGTACTTCTTAAACCCACAGACCACTCAATAGAGGAAGATTATAGAATTATCTTCTCTTGAAGCCCTTTAAAAATTCTGGATTGGGTATCTTGGAGGTCTTTATCCATTTTCAGACTCGGTGACTGGCAAATCTCTAGAGAGCTCATAACCACTGCTTTTAAGTCATATTCAACTATAAGTCTTCTCCATTTGTTAACAATCAGCACTATCCAGGACAGACAAGGAAATAAGTCAGTGTTTCTGCATTAGTAGTGTTGCCAGCAGGTCGAGGGAGGGGATCCTGCCCCTCTATTCAGCTCTGGTGAGACTGCACCTGGAGCCTTGGGTGCAGTTCTGGGCTCCCCAGGACAAGAGAGATGTGGAAGGTCTAGAGAGGGTCCAGCAGAGAACAACAAAGATGCTTAAGGGACTGGAGCATCTATCTTATGAGGAAAGACTAAGCCACCTGGGCCTCTTTAGCCTAGAGACGACTGAGAGGAGATCTGATCAACATGTACAAATACCTGAGGGGAGAGGGCAAAGAGGACAGGGGAGAGGACTCTTCTCGGTGGTGGCCAGTGACAGGACAAGGGGTAATGGGTACAAGTTGAAACTGCTTGAGCAGAGGGGGTTGGACTAGACCATCTCTACAGGTCCCTTCCAACCTTAACCACTCTGTGATTCTCAACAAGCCCCTGAAACAGCTACATATAGAGAAATAGAGGAAAACAGCTTGTCTAACACATTTTTCAGAACACTTTGTTTAAGGGAAGGAAACATTTCAACTTAAGACCATCATCCACAGGGTGAATTTTCAGACTGGCTATTTCAATTGACAGGGAGATCTGACTAAGCGTTCTCACCAGTCTCTCTTGATCTCTCTGCCAGTCCTTCTGCTTCTCTACTTCCGTTTGCTGCTGCTGCCTTCTCTCTTTCTCTCGCTCCTCTTTCTTGTCCTTATCTTGCTCCTTCATTGTCCTGAAGAGTGACTGCAGTCGTTCCCAGTCAGCTTTTAGCTTTGCCTCTCTCTCCCTCTGTGCCTCCAAGGATCGGATCACCTCTTGCTTTTGGCTCTGAAGAGACTCCAGCGTAGCTCGCAATTTCTTACTGATCTCCCTTTCCTTCTGGGTTTCTTCACAGCACATCTGCATCTCAGCCTCCAGCTGCCTCTTGGAAAGAATGGCCTTCTGGTGTGTTTTCTCAATGATAGCAGCGAGCTCCCTGGTTCGGGACCTCTCCTCCTCCAGCTGGGCCTGGAGCTCTCGCACGAAGGCTTGCTCTAACAGCGACTCCCTGTGCTGACAGGCAGCACTGTCTTTGGCTCTCATGCTCAACTGTTCCGTCAGGATACGTTCGTGATTCAAGGAATTCAGGAGCTCCAGCGAACGGTTCTTCTCGGCGTCCAAATTCTTCTGCAGCTCGGACAGCTTGCTCTGCTCTCGGCACAGCAGAGCTTCGCAGCGCGACTGCTCGATCTGAAGCTCCTTGCGGAGGTTGTCGTTCACCGTCTGCTCGTGTTCCAAGGACACGGAGAGCTGACTGTTGTGCACGGCCTGCAATTCCAAGGCAGCCTGCAGCTTCTGTTCAAAAGAGAGACATGCTTATTATATTCTAGCGCAAGGACTCATTTACAGGGCAGGGAAATATTCAGCAATATTTCAACGTCCTGCTTTACCTGGGAAGAAATTCAGGAGTTAACAGTATAGATAAAGCACCAAAAAGCCTTAATTTAAATGGAAGATAAATGACCTTTGAAAACTCCCGCTATACCAGACTAGTTTCTAATATTACAATTGTCAGGAGCATGCTTATTACCATCATGATTATGAAGTAATAAAAAACAAAGTGGGGAAAAAAAATAACAATCCACCATACTAACATACCAACATATCTTCCATCATTTTTTTTTCCTCTCCATATGGTAAGTTCTTCATAGGGAAACCTGAATCAGAAATGCTGGTTTAAAAAGAATCAAAAATCTCAGCAGTTAAAGTAGATGTTAAATCTCTGCATTTTACAGCTGTTTGTTTAGAGAACAGAGCACATGGTGAAAACAATCCATCCCCTGGTCTGTCATGCCAACCATTTTCACTGCCCTTGCTGAGCAGAAGACAAGAGTGAGTGAGGTGACAGTCCCAGTGGCTGGAGAAGATCAGAACTAGCAGTGCTCCAGTCCTGGCAGGGGTTCTGCACCCTGCCTCTGATCAGCACCAGCTCTCATCTGCTCCTGCAGAAAGCCAGCTCAGACCTCCAGGCAGCAGAAATCTGCCATCCATTGGCACCATTGGCCTTCTGCAATGCTGGGCCGAGGGAGGTTTTGGGAATGGAGGACTGTGGCAGCGTAGACCATGAAAAGTTTAATCCGCTGCAAAACTGCATCGGTGGCAGTGCAATTTCTCTATAGCCTCGGCTAAACTGGTCTCTGCCTTCTCTGCATGGGCAGTGTGTTTGTGGAACACACTGTGGAAGATGCAAATCCCATGTCTACCACCTGAGCAGAAGAAAAAATAAAAAGACCTATCAGAAAGATAAACGGCAATTCCTCTCTGTAAATAAGGGCAGGCCAAGGAAGATATGCGTCAAAATTGTGTACTCCCATTTAGGGCATATAACAAGGATTGTTTTGAAGGCATCTGATACAGTTTGGCTTTGTTTTAAATTCACCAAAGGTTTATGTTAGATATTATTTCCACCACTATCACTCCTGCTTTGTTAACAGTTATTTACAGGTCTTCTGCAAGGACTGAGTCATGATTATACAGAAGAAGGCTGTTCAGCCTCCAGCTTTCTGTTCAGTCCAGAAGAAAGGGAACAAAGGAGGGAAGGAAGAGAAGAAGAGAAGAGAGAGGGGGAAAAAAAAAGAGAGAGAGAGAGAGAGAGAGAGAGAGTTTGGTTAACCTCCAAAAATACAAGCTATATTGGAAAGGTTCAGATTCTTTTCTGCCAAGTACATGCATCATTGAGTGATTTTCTTTACAGTCCAACATTCTGTTAGTTCACCTCCCTCAGTTCATGAAGTTAACTGGATTGGAAGCATTACGATGTAGGGAATTACCTCCAAGGCCTTTGTCTTTTCATCATCTGCTTTCTTGTGCTGAAACTGCCGTTCCTCAAACGAACGTCGTAGCTCCGCTTCCTTCAGCCGTTCGCTCTGCAGATCTTGAAGTGCAGCTGTCAAATCTTGTTCTTTCGCTTCCAATTCAGAACTACAAAATTCAAAATGACACTGCAACTGCACACAGACCAGATCATCCTTCATCACTGATACAAGCAAGCCAAGTTGGATTGTTTTTTTCAGTTGGGCTATTGGCTCATTTCCCTAAGATGACCTCTGCTATACAGAAAGTCAGTTTTCCAGGCACAGCTATTTAGTACCTGAAAACAGCTTATCTGCCTGTACACAAAACTAGAAACACTCCATTTACTAGCTGTTCAAGTATAATGATAAACTATCTACCTGGCAAAGTAAAGTTGACAAGAGGAAAGAAAAACATTGATGTATAGTAAGAATAAGAGGTAGAAAAACCATACAAGATTACAGGTAAACAGAAGTAGTTTAGAGCTATGAGTTGTGTAAAAGCCTAGGAGAAGAGTTGTGAGAGAAGAGTGTCCAAGCTCTGAGCCGTTTGCAGACCCAGTAAGTATAAAGCTCCTTCAGATCTGCCAAAGCACTCTGAAACAAGAAAACTCCAAACAAACAACTAAATAAAAGAAACAACAACAAAAAATCCAAAATAAAAATAAAATAAACACCCCACTCCTGCCTCTTACCAGCACTGGTTTATTTTCCTCTGAAGCTCTTCTAGGGAGTTCTGTAGCCTTTCATTCTCTCGCTTACTTTCACAAAGCTCCAATTTCAGGGCTGATACTGCAGCTTGCTCTTGTTTCAAGAGTTCACATGTTTCAGAGGCTCTTTTCTGCTCCTCAGCCAAGGTGCTCTGCAAGCCACTTACAATAGATTTTTCTTGCTGAAGCTTGTATTCTAATAATTCAACTGGGATAAGAAAATGTTAACAATCATTTGCATTACAGTGCACGTAGCAAGATGTTAGTTATGCTGCTTCAAATTGCAGGTAAATTAGCTGGACTAAAACATTCTTGTCCAGAGGATGAGTTTCTTTTCAAAGATTATAGAAATAAGCAAAAAGAAGACAAAGACACATTATAGCTTTGCTGTCATTGGATCATGCTACATACATGAGGAACTGTAATACACTCCAAACAACTTGTTACTACTGCATCATGAAGCAAAATCATTTTAAGCATCGTGAAGCAAAAACATCCATTTACTAACCAAAATGTATACACAATATTCCCTGAAAATCATCAAGGGTTTCTGATCATCTTTCTTGGGTTTTCTATATGTACACCTTGGTTGACAAAGAGTCATCCTTTAAAAAACATTCCTTTGGGTTACTTTAAAGCTTTTCATCATCTTTCATACAGATTTGTCTTAACCACCAATATCAGAAAGATCTGTTCTTCCTCTTTTAAAATCTTAGGAGTGCATTAATGTATTGTACAGCACTTGCTTCTTTGCAGAACAATTTATTTTGCCTTTTATCTTTTTAGTCAATAAAGGGGAAAAAAATACAGAAGCTCAGGTGACAGGAGCTTGATGATCACTACCTTTTCTCCGAAGCTGGTGTTCTTGTTTGCTCCCATGATCTTCTGCATTAGTAAGAGTTTCCTGTAACTGCTGTAGCTTCTCCTGGTTCTGAAGATGTGTCATGCGTAGCTGAGCCCGAAGGTCCTGGATTTCGGAAAGCAAGCTATTCCTGTCCGAGGAGAAAAGGTGCTCTACAACCATCTGCCGCTGTTCCTCCTGAAAAGGACCCAAGTGCCATTAAATCTGCAAAGCTATTCCCTTCTTTTCCTACAAGGATAAAGCCTAGAGAACCCTTTGTGTAAGTAGTTTTATAAAAACACAACTTCAAACGACTGCGTTGATGCCCCACTATAATTTAAAACTTAAAGTAACACAAAAAAACATTTCACTGGCTTACAAATAGCCCGATAGTTACTAATAATAGTTTACACATAATAGTTACTACAAACCATCTGGCCTGCAGCTAAAAGCTTAATATTGTCATGAAACAATTCCAAGTATGTTCAGAGTTTGTTCAAAATACACCCTTTGCAAGAGAAGTTTGTGATGCTCCAGATGGAAGTCTTCCTCCAACCTACACCCTTCAACAATTATTTCCTCCTCACTAACACAATCTCCTGATCACTACGCTCTCTGGCTGCCAAATATAACAATCAATAGATTTTATAACACAACACACATGAAGCCCAAGGAAAAAAATGTGCCCAAAATAAAGATTAGAAAAACACACTGATATAACACAATCTGGATTAATGTGCAGAATTTAAGATTTAGGAACAAATGTGATAAAACTGTAAAACCACAGCATCCATGCGTCATGCCCATATGCACTCTTAAAATAATATATAGTGGAACAGAAGAAGAGATTTATGAGCATAATACTTTAAGAGGTTTTCTTACTTGTTGTTTCATAATATGCTCCAGTTTTTCCATTAATGAACCTTCATCACCAGAGCCAGGATTGCAGAAGTGAGACTTTAAGTCGATCTGCAACACATTTCTCTCCTTCTCAAACACACTGTGCACTGCTTGGAGAATTTCTCCTCTCCAGTCACTGGTATTATCCACATGCTCCTGCAGAAAACAAGCATACTTATTGGTATCTGTAGCATCAGTCTCTAACTTGCAAGCCATGTACAGCCCTCCAACACCTTTTAGATGGCCTCCAACTGTGAAGTGTCTTTCATATCGTTACTGCATAAAACTACTTTGTAATTTAAGCAGACTAGAAGGTGTTAGAGATGCCTGTTCAAACCTCAGAAAGAAATCCCTGCTTCTCCCGCTCCTCATACATGCATTTTGCATGTTTTTATACATATTTTATGCATACAATTCTTTATTTATACATACTTACATATGCACATTATACATATATACATACATATGTAAGTACGTATAAATAAAGAATTGGTAAACAAGTTCTAAAAGGGTACAAGTCATCTCTGTTGCGATACCTTGTCTCCTTTGGCTGCTACCTTGCTAAGGTAATCTCTCAGGGACTGTATAGCATCCAGAAAGGCTCTGCCTTCCTTCTGCCATCCCTCCATAGCTGCTCCACACTGACTAATGCTCTTCTGGTCCCTAACATCAACGGGATGCTCCGACAAAGCCAGTATCTTGCGGCTCTCCTCAAACACCATCTTCAGTACCATCTAGGAAGGAAGAAAATGCAGTGTTAGGAAATAAGCATCAACACCTCAGCAGCATAGCAGTGTGGTGGTGCAGCTAGACAGTGAAGTCAAGGTGGCCATTCCAGGCTATAATCTCAATAGAGGCACACATTTCTGCTCTGCTATGCAACATGACACATAAGTATCATCTATTAAGCAACATTTACCAGAGAATGTTATCTCCTAACCAGTAAGCCTGGTATTTAAGAAAGCAGTCAACACACAGAACACTGAAGTACAAAAAGCAGCCTGCCCCAAAGTATCTTACTGCTGTGCAAGTCAACATGCAAATGTGCCAAAGGACTGCTATTTTACCTCTGTTGTTTTGGAACTTTCCTGGCACTAAACCAAATTTTATGAAGTATGAAGTCAAGTTACTAAACCGCACTGATGCTAGACAACCCTCAGAGGCTAAAAAACTGAATTACATATTTAGACAACCTTGACTTATTGTAGCAAATTACATGGAAATAACAGTTCCCAAGTAATCTGTCTAGATAATTTACACAGTGGAAACTATTTCCTCTGACATTGTCAGGCAAAATAATCTCTTTTAAATAAATTCCCTGTTTACAATCCATTACATCATGTGCAGATGTTTCCCGGTCTCATTCCAAGGAAGGTCATAGGAGATTAAAGTCCTTTACTATGTAGATCTCATTCCAAATATCCCAGCCCCAATGCAGAGCACTCTCTCCATGTTACTCGCTTCTATAACAACAACACCAAGAGATTTTCTTTAACTCTTGGCATTCATACTTGGCACTTTATTGAATGGCTTGAGTTATAGTTTCTGTAGCTGGAGTCAAAACAGTGACTACATCAGGAGGCAATGCCAAAACATGCTACACTTCAGTAAACATTAACAATGGAAGGAGTCCGAAGACTTCAGTGTGCTTCTGCCTAAACACTCAACATCTGAACATGCACCTCACTGTCACTCAGTCTAGACTGATGATCCATGAAAGAAACTGTAGAAGCAATAATTCCCTGGCTTTTCACGCCTCCCTTCGTTTTGCCAAACACCATAATAAAGTCCATTAGACATTCTGGAAGGCAGCTTACATTGTAAGCTTGGCAGTTTATAATGTAAAGGCAACAGCTAACTCCATTTTAAATTAGCATTTCACTGCTATTATTTTAGTTTATATTCCTTGGAATGCTCCCATTAATCACATATTACCTTCAGCTGTGGTGAAAGTATTTCTTTTTCTCTCATGGACTCCATAATATCTGGAATTATTCCCCGGCACTGCAGATAAGCCAAAAAACTAGGATCTAGATGGTCAGATGTTTCCAGTTCCTGCTTTAGTTTAGCTGTCAAACTGGAGCTGTTATCTAAAGGAAAAGACACTCAAAAATGTTATAAACCTGAAGGGAACTTAAAACTGGCATAAATATTTGCAAAAATAACCATGATTTCTTTAGCTAGTATACACGCAGCATCATCTCAGCTTAGATAATTGAGATTTACCCAAGATTGACTCGACTAACTCAAACAAGTAAAAAAGTAATAAACTGCCTTTAGCACTAGAAAAAATGTTGCAAGTCAAGAACTGCTAAAATACTGTGCCTCCTTTTCCATACACAAGGATGAAAAGTTAAAAGAAGACTTCCATTAACATGAATATAGAAGTCTAAGTAAACCAGAAACCTGAAAAAAGGTACACCAATAAAAGATTGAGAAATGAAAGACTATGGAAGGAAGAGGCAGCATTATAATATTTCTGAGACTGAGGTTATGAATGAACATTATACTTACTGCTGCCAAATCCATCACTCGCCACTTCTACAGCTGATGCTGTTGATCTTGTGTCATCTTGCAAATCAGATGGGGTTAAGGTTAGATTATCAGCTTCTCTCACCTGCTTGGAAATAATTTTTAGCATTAGTTTTGTTAATCCAGCTGTAGAGTTTTCTGCAATAAAAGCCTCCTTGTCTCTGCTGCAGATTTTGGCAAACACCTTCTGGAGCACAGTGTTAAGAGACAGCAAATACCATGATGAAACAAAACTAGAGCTCCCCTGCCTTTTTTTCCCCTCTCTTCACTTATTAAAATCTTCATCAGACTAGTCTGAATGAATGAAAGTTCAGAACTCCTTGATTAGTCTGAGAGAGTAGCTCCAGAATGAAGTAAGCTGTGCCAAGCTCCTTCACTAGCCTATGGATGGATGCACAAAGGCAGAGGCCAGAGATGAGGGAACGGGCCAAAAGAAATCCCTCCTTTCCAGCAGCAGGCTGACTGGAGTTGACAAGGCACGGCACAAACTCACCACACTGGTCTAACTCAAAGTGTCTTTTCATATGGGCCACTAATTTTCATTCCAAATTTTGTCATTAAAAGCACCTTAGGGCACCTAAAATCACCTGTAACACGAGCAGAGCTTCTAGGCATACTGTAAAGCCATTAATAATAAAATCTTCTAGCCCAGCTCCTGTGGTTCTCAGAAGCAAAGCCGTACAGACTTCATCTTCCCATCAAATGATATAGACATGAGTACACAGAACATTTCCATTAGAAGAAAAAAAGTACAAAGAGTTTTTTGTAAGACAATTTCACCTTGCACTCTACTGTATAGATGGAGAGCTTTTACAGTTCACCTACTGTATAGATGGAGAACTTTTACAGTTCACTGAGAGCCATGGTTTAAAATTAAATAAACATATATTAAAATATATATATTTGACATTTATATGACATCATATATATACACGTGACATGAAATATCACTTACTAAAATTTTCTCTATATCTTGGTCGTCATCCACAGAATAGGTACTTTCAGAGAAAACCAGGGATTTCACATCTACTCCCACTGCTGCTTCCTCACTGCCGTGTACATACAGATTTGGATATCCCACAAATTCTGGGGTATCTTCTTGCATAGATGTCCTTGCGTGCATCATGTCAAAATCTGTGCTGTCCACTTCTGTAAAGGGAGTCAAGTGAAGCACTGCCTGAAGTTCCACGCTTGTATCCTGCTTTCTCACAACCTCAGGTGACTCCCATGAAGCCATATCCACAAGTAAATCCTGGAAGTCTTTCGGAGTGTCTTTATAACCCATGATTAAATTGTGTTTTGGCGAATCGAGAGTTTGGTGGATTTGCAACATTTGCTGGCAAGACTTTTTCAGATCTTCCTGCTTTTCAGAGTTATTGACCACATTCAATTCCTGAGTCAAGACCTTTTCTTGCAAATGCTTAATTTGAGATTCCCGATTTATATTGTGAACCGTTAAGTCACCTCTGATGTTATCCTTCTCCTACAATGAAATAACACATATTAATTGCTTAATGGAATTAAATGTTATTTTACAAACTAAAAACATGCAGTTAAAAAAACTCTCTCCAATGTAATAATCAGATATAACGGTACTTCAGTGCATTTTAAACAGCATATTTATCTGCCATATAAGAGCTAAGTATTATCAGCGGAGAAAAAAACCCTACATTAATCAGCAAATGCACCCACTTTCTCAGAGCTGACTTTTGCATCCAAATAGAAAAAGAAGTATTACCCATAATTGTGCAGACAATCCTCCTACTTTTCAATAGGATTTATGTCCATCATATCTGAAGAAGGTTTTATAGGACTAGGTCATTCTTCTGCTGAAATTGCATATTTCAGTATCTTTTAGTTTAGCAGCTCTTGATGGATTTTGCTTCAGTGACTTTGTCTAAAACACTTTAAAAATACAACTGCACTTCTGACCTCTTGTGACATTTTGAATCAGCTCCCATAAAATATATTCAAGGTGAAGAGTTGCTTAAGCTCTAAAGACATAGGTTCTATAACACATCTCATCATGACATTCAGCTATCATGATATTCAGAATATTGCACTTCTATTAGAAGGAACTATTCCATAGGAAGGGGTGATCCATAATTCATCATTATAAAGGATGGCTTGAGGATCCAGTCAAATTATTTATTTTAACTCAATGTAGTTCTTATCTTTGAAGACCCTCCATTGTCACAACATACTCAAAGACATCTTGCATTAGGCATGAAAATACTATTGACATGAAATATATAAACTTAAATATTGAAAACCCAAGGATCTCCTTGAAAAAAAAAAAATTTAAAGTCATTTTACTGTCCCCCAAATTCCAACATCCCTTCATATCTTTCAAAGTTTTACTAGTTCTCTCTTCACTGAATCCTACCTCTGTTTCTGTAGAAACTAATTCAGATTTCAGGTCTTCTTGACGAGTTGCCATCTTTATATTTGTACTCTCTTCATTCTGCAAAGTATCCTTTATCTCTCTCTGCATTGCATTCAGAGGAAAACATATTTTTTGTTTGAGCAATTTCCATATCCGTATAAATTATATATTTTTTATACTTTTCAGATGTCAGCATTGTATCTACAGTAACTAGGATTTTACAGGTGCATCTCTCATACTAAGTATTTCACAAACCGTTCCTGTCCCCCTGGCTAGGCAAGGGCAGCATCAACCTCAGATAAATCAACCTCAGATTTCTATACCCATATCATATTGCTAAGTAAGAACCTTCCAAATTACATAAGACTGGCACCTCACTTTCTTATTTCCTATGTGCTCAGGAGCTTTGATATTCAGGGCTCTTACTGACAATTATCACCTCAGTAAGTAAGTGTTATCATGCATTAAGTTAGTACATGACAGATGTCCCTAGCTCCATGAAATACAAGTCTTCCGCATCCTATTTCTTTCCAAACTCGGGCAACTTAATTAAAGATCACATTAAAATCCTCAGAACAAATGGTTCTTTAAAGATTCAGAGTAAATAACAGTTTCTACTAAAATTTGGCACAGAATGGAGCATTTTCAATACTTTCCCTAGATTCATGCTTGAAATCACAAACAGCTCAGAAAAACTAAAGGAGCTTTCCTGAATGGATGAAGTTTCCACGTATGTTGCTCGGCTCTATTTTTTTCCAGCCATCTACCCCTGACCTGCAGAAAGGCCACAGAGACAGGAGAATCTTTGCTGTGATCCACACGACCAGTTTTTATGGTATCTTTACTCTGTACCCATACAGGTCATCTTTAAATACTACTTTCATTTCTGTCATTACAATACTGAGAAGAACAAACTATAGGGTTTAAAATAACACAAATTGGCTTATTTAAGAAGAATAAAGAAAAAGAAAAGAAAAAGTAACACTACTAGAAAACTAACTACATACCAATTCTTCACTTGGAGAAACCAGGACTTCAACTGACTGATCAACAGTTGTTCCCAGTTCTTCCAATTTCTCCATTCCTTTATGATCTTCACCTTTTCTTTCTGTCTCGGTGACCAGCTTGGGAAGGTTAGCCTCTTCATAACCATCTTGCTCCTTTGACTTGTAGGTCTCCAACTGTGAAATTAGGTCATCTCTTTCCAAACGTAAGGCTTCAAGATCTCTCATATGCTCTTCTATTTGATCTTTCAGTTTTGCAGTGCAACCTTGCAGTTCATCAATTTCCCTCTGATAAACCATTACTTTTTGATTTAGTGTTTGCACCTCAAAATCAAGTCTAGAAACTTCTGACTGAAGATTGTGAACCTCTTGAGTCTGATCTGCATCTTTCCTCTCCAGCTCAGTTTCAAGTACTGCTACCTTTTTGATTAAGCACTGCATTTCATTTGTGTCAGCTGCTCTTTGATCTGCCATTGCCTTCATCTGCACATCTTTCTCTAGAATATTTGCTTCCCTCTCTCTAACAGTATCTTCCAGTTCTTGAATCTGAGAAGAAATCATTCTTGCTTCAGCCTCTCTCTGAGAAAAGTGTGTTTGGAAAAGCTGGTATTCTTTCTGAAGTGTGTCATACTCTAACCTTAGAGAGATTAGCTCTGCAAAGTGCTGCTTTGATGACTCCTGTTCTTTCTGAAAATTTTTTTCTAAAATTTCCATTTCTATTCTGAACTGTGATTCCTTCTCTTCCAGTTGGTGCTGCAAAGCTTCCCTAGCAGTTGAGACAAGCTCTAGTTCTTCCTGAAGTTCTTTCACATTGGAGAGTAGCGATGTGTTTCTTCTGCTTGGATCAGGATCACCCTGGCCATCTACCAACCCCTTCTTCAGCTCATTCTGAAGGTTTTGCACTGGTTCCCCCAAATCAAGCTGATAAAGATTATCTTGGCTGTCACTAACTTCATGACATATTGGTGCAAACTGTGCTAGCTCTTTCTGAAGTTTCTCAATTACTCCATGAAGCTGTTCTACCTCTTCATCTTTGTCCTTATGCAACCTTTCCTGATCGCCACGAAGATGCTCAACAAGAGATCGGAGTTCTTCAATTTCACATTTTTGGTCTTCCGCAGCCTGAGCAAATGGATAAGAGTATTAATATATGGAGGCAAAATTACTATTGTGAATAAGAGTTAAAATTACTAAAAAAAATCTTGTTTTTCTGAACCACTTAGGCATTAAGCATTTAACTGCAAAAAGATTTGTGGACTTTAGCTGGGTGCCTACTCAAAATTCTCTTTAATATAAGAAACACTTAATAGATTTAATCAGCAATATGATTCTGCGCATTCCTTTTCCACCCCAAAATTCAACAGTGGCCATTTATGAGATGCTCTTACCTTATTGCTCACAGCATTCTCTAGCTCATGCTGAAGTCTCTTCACCTGCTCATTCAGATGATCAATTTCTTGATTCTTTTCATTAAGCAGTGCTTGTGGGAATGACAAAGCTGAGGAATCACTATTATTCTGGTTCTGACTTTGCTTCAGATGAAGTTTTGTCAGATCCTCCTGAACAGAAGAAACATCAATATGATTACAAGGGACTTTCATTTTCTTCCAAAATAACGGCAGGACAGAACTACTTTACTTAAATATTCATCTCCTTATTATAATGAAACATAAATAAATACAGCTACCTCATTTGAATTTATACCACTTGATTAAATTGGTACAATAATTCTCAATTTTCAAACTGAGACAAACACTAGCTGCACAATTATCAGACAACCATCTTTAAACCTTAGAACACCAGCTCTAGCTGGAGAAGTCAGAAATACAGCAAGATTTCAGCAGTAATTACTGAACAGCAACACTGTAGTTTGTAATCCAAGAATCACTGAAGTTATTGTGAACAACCGCGCTCTGAGGAGAACTGCTTTTCTGGATTTTCTGGATACAAGATATCGTGTAAATCATCTATCCCATTATAGCAAAAAAAAAGTTTTAGGAATGAGCAGCTACTAAATAACTCATGAACCAGCAGCTACTAAGTAGAAGCTAAGTAGAAACTCAGTATCATTGTCATGTTCCAGTGAAAGAGGGCACCTGGGAACAGCAAGAACTCCATCACACTGTCTACATTGGGAATACTTGGAGTAGCACTGCCTTTTCCCTCTCATGTATTAGGGTGTTGCAAAGGTCACGGGCACAAAAGGAAGACCAGAGTGTGATACCATGCTCCAGCACAGCCTTTTTCAGTGCCTCTTAGACCTTCCGAACAGTGACCAGAGTTGTCCACATGCAGGAAATATGAGATATAGAACCACACTGAGAACCTTATGAGACAGAGAACACATTGTTCAACGGGGATTTCTGGTAGTTTAACTGGACCACATAAGCTAAAGAAACCTACCTTCAAGTGTGCATTCTCTGACTGAAGCTGGCTGATGCTGGAAGTGCTAAGGTTTTTTTGCATCTCTAACTGCAAGTTCAGCTGCAATATCTCCTCATTTTTACTGATCAAATTATCTTTACATTGCTCTAGCTGGTCTAATAAGCTGGCAATCTAAAACGAAGAAAAGGCAAAGTTGTTTTAATTAAATTCCTTTATTTAAGCAGAAAATATTAAATTTAATTCACCGTCTTAATTCCTGCCAATAACTACAGCAAGCTCCATGGCTTAAACTCTCTCTAATCGGTTTATATGAATAAAATACCTGGGACAATTTAATTAAAAAAACAGAGCACAAATGAGCAAGAAGCTAGTGTACTAGCTCCTTAACTGGGAACCAAAGCTTCCTGATTTTGGAAGAATTACAAGGTTAAGGGTTTGGCTCCCCTTCATTTTCCCCTTTTAAAAATCTAAGTGCTTATATTAAATGTCTGAGACAGGGAGGGAGAAAAGGAAATCAAGGCATGAGATGTAGTTTGGGGCAGCAATTTGAGACAAGCTAACAACATCTAATGCCTAATGTAATCACAAACAGCTTACACGATCACCATATTCCTTAAAAAGAGAAGTTAGATCTGCAATACTAAACCCAACACACAACAATCACTAAAGCTACATTCATTGACTTGTTCAAACTGTAAAATTAAGATTCAGTAATTACACATTACACAGCTTGTATCAACTCAAGAGTATTTTTGATCGGCTTAAATTCTCAGCTAACACGCAAAACATTTCTGCAACTTGTGAGACTGCTCCTGATGTCTGCAGGGACCTACTAACATCACAAACTGCTTACCTCTCTATCTTTCATCTCAAGTGCTTCCTGCTCCGCCTGTAGCTGTTTCTTGAGTGCTTGATCACAACTGCCCTCGGCAGGTACTCTGTGCCTCGCTTCATCCAATTTAGACTGCAGGGCAGAGATCTGAATCAGGTTATTGTACTGCTGCTGTTGCAATGCTTCTTTATCCTGCAAAATATTTTTGTGTGTGTTAGAATAAGTTATCAAGATATACATCCCATCTACACATAATGCTCCTGTCAAAAATAATTAATCCCTAAAGAAAATCCTGGTGCTCTCACTGACCTTCTGACCAGTAACAGGGAGTACTCCAGGCACATGAAAAAGGAGAGAAGAAGCTACATGCACAAGTCACACCCAACTGAGATATAAAACTGCCATCTGCACCCAATACCACTGCAGGAGGGAAGAGAAGCACCACCCTGAAAGTAACACATCAATTTCTTTGGGTAGGAAAGCACCGACCATAAGCTTTTTGGCTGTCCTCAAACAAAAACATAAGTTTTTCTTGCCATCACACTAACTCTATCAGAGCTACGAGTACCTGAGTCATTTACTGACATGCATGAAAGGGCCAGCACCAATGAAACCCAAGCAAGAGCAGTGCCTTTTATTTTTCCTATGTGAACACCAAAACTAAGGAGCCATTCGCACCATTTCGAAGTTCAGCTTGATATCTGACAACTGATATCTGATTACTGCAGAACCGGCCTGCTTGTCTTCAGATCCCCCTGCATTTACTGGGCGGATGCACCTTAGCTCATGGTGTAAGCACAGTTCTGTGTGCAAGAGTCAATTTAACATTCTGCGGTTGCCCCAGTGATGCAGCAACAGCCTGTGCAAAATAGGGGCTTTATGAAACACATCCTCATTTGAAAACATACATATGGATACATATAGGATGCAATCTCACATATTTTCTTTTCCTTATTCCAAGATGCACAAGACAGCAGATTAAGTAAGTTGACTTTGAGAGCCTCAAAGCCAAATGGAAAGTAAGCAGTCTACAAGGGCCATCCCTATTACAGCTGGCAAATACAGTAGGATAGTCTTGTGGGAAAGTCATTAATTACTTTCTCCATGGAGAATTTGGTTTACTTAAGATTTTAGAGAATGACCACTTTAATGGGACATTCAGACAGCTAAAAGAATGTCTCAAACTACCATGGATGAAAGCAAGCATGTTTAATAAAACACAAGGGTTTCAGGGACAATTGACTATCACGTACCAAAAGCAGTGTCAGTCTCCATGTTCAAAGCAAACCAAAGGGGAAGTGAGCAGTCATGGCTTCTATCTGTCCGTATAGAATCTCAGAATAGCTGAGGCAGAGGAGGGTCTCTGGCGCTTTCTGCTCCAATTTTCAGCTCAAAGCAGAACTGCCTTAGAGCAAACTGCCTTAGAGCAAACTGCTAGGCAAATTCTGAATATCTAGCAAGGGCACAGACTCCACCACTCCTCTGAGATGTCCCCCTTTTCCAGCGTCTGAATGTCCCATTAGGATTTTTGTTCCCTATTATTTAACTGAAATTTCCCCTTGTTGCACTTTACATCCTTATCTTCTCATGTTTCCCCTGTGCACTGCCAAGAAGTGTCTGGCTCCATCTTTTATACTCTCACATCCCGTGGCTGTAGGCAACAAGATCTTTGCTTCCTCTCCATAAGGCTAAAGAAGCCCTGCTCTCTCAGCTTCTCCTCATAAATCATTCCCTCCAGCTTTCAATCATTTTGCTGCTGAACTCATGCCAACGCAGCAATCCCTTCCTTGACACAGCCGTAGCCACTGATTGAAACTCACATATTTTCTAAAACTCACTATTTTCCTTAGGAACTCTCAGAGAAGCAGAAGAGTTATTCCCATCCACATAAGTATGACAAATGCCAAAAAGAAGTTTTTGTTTCAAACTGTGTCTACAACAACTGCTGTTAATACAACAGCTTAATTCACCACTAAATGCAAAGCACAACCTCAAAGAATATTGTAAAAAAGTCATTGAATTCCCACAGGAAAATAGCTGCATAATTTCTTGTCTAGTTAAACAGGTATTTAAAAGTTAAAAATTCATTTTAAAATTACTTGTTTTAATTCTGTTTCCACTTTCTTCATTTTTTGTAGTTGCTGTTCTAAATAGCTCACAGTCTTTGAGACTTCAGTACCGCTGTGCTCCAGTTCTCGTATCTGTGCCATCAGTTTCTCTATTTCTTTATCACGTGCTGTGATTTCTTGATGTTTGTGTTCTTTTTCTAATAACAGCTTACTGTAATCATCCATCTTCTCTTTTATTTCTGCTTGCAAAGATTCTACCTATACAGAAATCACAATACACAGATACTCAGGCAATGTAACATAAATTCCAACTAGAAGGAATTGTAATTTCACAGCTAAGCAGGCAAAATTTTAGTATAGGCAAAACTACTGCTAAAAATCTCAGACAAAAGAGAAACAGAAGTGGAGGGAGAGGATGAAAAAGTAACTTCCTGATACCTTGTTTTCCAATATATCAGCTCTTAAAAAAAAAAAAAAAAAAACTAAAAAACATATTTGCTTATTAATTTAAAAAATAAAATTACATGAATTAAATACACTACTAAAAATCAGATTCATTGTAGTCCACACAGATTAGATGATACTTAAATAGGAAAAGAATAACTTGGCATTTGAGCAGAGTGAGATCCAATTGTGCACAGAGCTGCAGGAAAACTGCCACTCGTTCATCCCAGTAAGTCATGTGAAAGCAAAGCTAAGAGCGCTGCAAGGTGACAGAGAGGAGAGAAAGGACAAAAGAGACTACAAAGGGAGTGATAAGGTCATCAAGCAAAGTGAAAACTAGATCCAGTGGGAAAGCAATGGGACTCCTTCTAAAAGAAGTTATTTAGTCAACATCAAAAGTAAGGAAGAGGAGATATTTGCAAAATAAATGTTTTGTTCATCAAGAGTCTCCGAACTTACATAATTTCCCCTTCAATATTATAAATTAAAACCACTATATATTAACATAGAACTTTATGTCCAAGTAATGTACAGACATTACTAAAGCAGAAAACCACCCTCTGGGAAAATGCAGAAGAATAGAATTAAATTAACCGAATTAATAATCATAGAAAGTTTCATATACTGGTTAAAAACATCAAGTGATTAGCATTACATTTTCAACTGCTTAAAGGCACCGACACATTTGCTTAATTATGTATATATCTTCTTCTTTTCTCATCTCATCAGCAATTAAGCAAGTGTCAAGAATAAGACAGACTTGTTTTCTAACCTAGCAGAAAAGCTTTCTGGTATGAAAAATACCTTCAAAATTCTAGTATGTTCTGCACAGATGCTCTTGCTGCAAGATCTGGGCATACATCACCATAACACCAGCCATTACAAGATTTTACATATGAAACACATATTTTTAATGCCACATTGCTGCTGAGCAAGTGCTGTGTGTCCGTAGATAAAAAATGCTTTCTCAATGCTTTTTCCCACAAAATAATCCCATTACATACACCCCAAGCCTAAAAAACAGCAAAGGGAACAAGTATGAACCTCTTAAAATAGTTACATCCAGAATCAGAAGTTTAGATGAACTGTTTTGTCTCAGTCATTCGTTGCCCAAATTGAGCAGTTACTGACACTGCAGCTGCATTAAATAACTGCACGAGAGCCCTGAATCCCTGCATTTCATTTTGGCACAGACTGCAAACGTGCTGCATCCTACCCACAACTGGCCCCAGCTTGATTAACTCTCTGCTGTGCCTTTTCCCTTCTCAGGTCTGAAGTGCTTTGAGAGAGGCTGCAAATCATGACAACCATGAACATTAAGTTTAACAGATCTCTCTCCCCACTAAGGAACATGTCTACTCAATAAAGAAATAGCCTGATAAATATTCCAGGCAACAGCTTGTATAGAAAGCAAGCAATGGTTTAACAGTCTGACATACTTCACATGATTTTTCCAAAATCTTAGGAAAAGTGAGTGCACCCACAGAATCACAAAGAATATATGTTATATGTTAAAGCCACCACAAAAGTGGAACTTCTGGAAAGAGGTACAAACATGCCTTCAACAAGCCATATGGCATTTGAGAAAGAAAAGGCTTTAAAAAAGGGAAAGCATTTGATCTTTGACATAGTATATCATGTTAACCTGATATACATACATATAACTATATGTGATGTTCTTAGAAAAATCTTAGTGAAAGGCAATATTCATACAAATGAGAAGCCAAGACAGAAAGATATGTAATCACTTGACTTCTGCTAGCACTTCCTTAGGCATCTGCAGAAGTTAGAGAAGGCTGGTCGCAATCTGCCTGCCAGCACAGAAGCACACTCTGCCAGAGATCCAGCTGTTCATGGCAAATGCACTTCTAACACTGAGGTCTGTAATTTCATAGATTGTACATAAAATTATAGATGGAAATGCAATTAAACAGTGTAAAGATTGAAGTTTTAAGAGCGGTGTCACAAAAAAAACTGAAGGCTGAAGCACAGCACATCACTGACTTCACTACTTTTATCTCATACTCTGAACCTCAACTTCACCTTTGTATCACAAAAATATTTTACAGCAAGGAACAGCATGCAAATGCATCCCAGCAAGAGGCCAGCAGGAGCAAGCACTTATAGACAAGAGATCAAATTGCAAGGAGCTTCCCACCTCTGCCACCTGCTCTGCCACCCTGAGACATGTATCTTTCTCTCTCAGTCTAGCTGAAGCAGATTTGATGCATAAGGAAGAGAAAGAAGCCAGAAGAGATCTAATTAAACAGGAGAAATTGAAAGGAAAAGGGAAGAAGGGTTGAGAAGGTGTTCATGCTGTTTTCCATACCTGCAGAATCAATTCATAGTTCTGTATAATGTTCATTTATGTGAAAACAAAAAACAAAAAAGCAAAAGTTAATCTTTGAAAGCAAGTATCATATAAACAAGCATCTGAGAAAAAGGACTAATTTATAATTTTAGACAAGACAAGGCAAACAAACGTAAAGTAACACCCTTTATCAGACCAACTAGTATTTGGAAAAATTAAACAAGTTTTAGGACCCAAAAGCTTTTCATCAAGTGTTCTCTAGAGAGCAGAGTGCCAGTATTTTTCCAGTGAATTTAAAACAAACACAAAGATTTTGAAATTTTACTGTAACACACAAGTCCTGGTGTGACATTTCCTTCCCTATCCATAGGAAGTAATGCAAGGGCACTCCTGACTGCATAGACGTAGTTAATCCGAAGGTGCGTGTGTGGGGAAACTCAGCTCTCTGGGTGATGACAAAGGAAGAAGTCTCTCAAGAGCAAGTCCCCTAGAAGATGCAGCTTTTGATACCTACTGCAGTAAATGGAAACTCCCTCAGTCTATAAATATGGTTTTACTCACCCCATATTCTCTTGGCTGTCCAGAAGTCTGTGATTTTCCTGTAGCTTTTAGCTGTTCTTCCAGTTTCTGAATTTCTTGTTGAAAATCATCACGCTCATGTTCCCTTTCTATAGCTTGCTCCTATCAACCCAATCAGAGATAATGGAAAATTTTTATTAGAGAGTGAACATTTATTAAAACATTAAGTATAAGAAAAACTACTTTTGTAGTGAAGAAATTCACCAAACAGGAATAGCATTTACCACCTCCAAAAGCCATGTAAAAAGTGGTATCAAGCTTGCTTACATCCATGAATTGTCGCTGATTTTTAAGCTGTTTTTCAAGGACTTGAATTTGCTGCTTTAGGTCAGCAACCTCCAGTAACTGTTTAGCCAGGTCCTGGTTACTATGCAACTGTTCTTCAAGTTCTACCTCCAAAACCTTCATTTGAGAGCGCAGGTTGGAATGATCTTTTTCTGCCTGACACTGCAGCTCTAATTTCTCCTTTGCTAAAAATTCCACTTCCTTAAGCAGACCTGAATAGGAACACAAAAAATAAAAACAAGATTGAGAGACCAGGGTACACAAACGGTTTTTAAGGAAAGTACATTCAGGTACTTTGGGTAGCTAAAGAATCAAATAAAACAATTCAGGATACTGTTTTTAAGAGGACAAAAGAAACTTAGACATTCACTTCCGATTGGATCTTTGAAAACTGCCTCTAAGACTCCCTGTGCCACACGCTTTAGGTGTCCCTGCTTGAGTAAGGGGGTTGGACTAGATGATCTCTAGTGGTCCCTTCCAACCTTAACTATTCTGTGATGCTCTGAAGACTATCAGATTTACAGAAGAAAAAGGTGGATGCAGAAAAAAAAAAAGATGGACATCTCTGCTCAATCCCAAAGTGAACCTCATTTGGAAATATCCAGGGCCAAGGTTCCACATATCACCCTCCCAGCACCCTTACGCTTCTATAGCCTCACCTCATTCAACCTTACACTTCTAGAGTCTCTCAACCTGATCTCTCAAGCCCAACTTACACACTTTTGCTCCAAACCTCCTTACTCCTCCCAGTTTACTTCCCTCATGCTACATCCCTAAGCCTCTCACTCCTCTCTCAGTCACCCAAACCTGCCAGTTTTCAAAATATGTCTGCCAGCTTTCTATATAGACCTGAAACTGTCTGCAGGGCCTGAATCTGTCAACATAAAGAGAGGCTTTGCCATTAACTGTGAACATTAAAAATAATCCCGCTATTGCAGGTGAGATTATTCAGTCTAAATTCAGAAATCATGTCGAGCTAAGTCCTTGGACACACTTATTCCTCAAGAGCAAAGAGCATGCAGAGGGGAGCAAAAGGGAAAGCAGAGAGGAACAGCAGCAGGCAGCAGTGGGTCTGATAGAATAACTGATAGACATTGGCATCATGAGATGCAACCGAGCAAGTCATCCAACACTCAGATGTACGACCTAAAAACATGCCAACCACAGAGCCTAAATCCAGGTAAAGAAACTAAGAAGCGGCCCAACAGCAATGATCTTTCAGCAGGGGCTGAGCATTTCATCAGGCAAGAGATGGCAATAAAACAGCACCTGTTGCACTCCACTGCATTTGCTTACACTCAGTGCATACAGAAGCACAAAACACAGCACAAAATGAATCAACAGCTTCTTTTTAGCTTAGTAAGCAGCACTATTGCCTCCTGAGAAATAAAAGGCTGATTTGATTAAGAGAAAAAAAAAAAAAAAACAGCAGCAGGACCATCTCCTCAGCCAAAAATGCAAGATAGAAGACATAATATAATTAGGCTATAAAATTTTACAGGGTATTTAAAATACTTAATAGATTGCTGAAATACACATATCTCAATAAACGCAATCTATTTGAACATGTTCTCTTTACACAGCTCCCCCAAGTACATACATACAGCATAAAGAAAAGCGAGTAGATCATCAGGTCATGGATTCACATCTTAGTATGGGACAAACCTGCTATTTTATCAGCACAAATTCAAATCATGCAATTCCACTTTGGTAAAGCCCCATCACCCTCCTTCCCTCCACTCCAAAATCACCATTAGCAAATGCCAAGCTACAACTGAAGCACACTGCATCAGCCAGGCCATTCTGCTCACATTAGCATTCATCAGAAAAAAAGTGGCTTTTTCAAACCATGTCAATCAACTCCAAGCAATATGATTGTATTCAGCATATTTTCTAGGCACTATAAATAAGTCCAAGCCAGAGGAAGAGTACTACAGAATACTGGGATAAGGAAGGGGGTGAATTTAGGGCTCAATTCTTGAATATCGCTGTGCAAACATCTAGAAAATTGGATTGGAGCTTCAAGGAGAATGCCAATCCCCAAGTATGTTGTGGCCAGACACTTTCCATCACTGAGTATGCAACAGGAAGACAGTGATGTAAGTGCATATGTAGATGAAAGCAAAAACATTAATGAGAGTGTATTTTGAGTAGCCCACCAAACCTGATCATATCAGCTATGTATTTACCAGATTACATGCTTACCTACTCATTTGGATCTGAAAAAAAAAGAGAAAAAAAAAAAAAAAAAGAAAGAGGAGAAAAGAAAATCTCTATTTGACATCTACAAGTTTTCAGCAAGTGTTAAAACTACGTCACCTTCTTGCTTGCTTTTCCATTTTTTTTCCTTCTAGTATCCTGTATCCTTTCCTTCCAAACCCTTTCAATTACAGCTAGTCTTTATCAGTCTTTTCTCCTCTTTCTTTTTCCTGATCTATGGATCCTGAATACCTTCTGATTACATCTCTCCAGCCTCCATTATCCTTCCTTCAGTTCTTACCCTGTTTTTTTTTAGCTCCATTTCAGTCTCATTTCTTTTTAATTTAACCACTACAACCTCCCATTGTGAATGATGAGAAGCTCACAGCAAGCTTACAAGCCTCGCTGTCCTCTCGCAAAAAAAATGGAGCTGACCAACATGAAGGTAACTGCATGACGCACTTTAAGGCGTTCAGCAGCAAAACTACTTGCAAAATTGATCAGTGATTTGAATACGTCTAACTGCTTTCTGATGGATCACACGCGTGTTCTGTGGTGCCTTTTTTGCCAAGATATTCATAATCCCAGTAATTTCTTGGGCCTATTTATGAAGTACTGTTCCTCTTTGTTAAAAGAGATTCAAAATCATTAATTCATTCACTCAGTGTTACAGTAACAAAAAAAAAATTCCACACACACCCATCATTACAAACCTGAACCTCCTCTTTGTGCTACATTAGCAATAGGAGTTCCTAGAAATCAAAGCATACAAATGTGTACGAGACAAAAAAAGGACATTTTGAGCAATTCCATCTTGCATATCACTAGAAACTCATGCATAAATGAGGTGGAGTACCTGCCTTTGAATTAGCAAAAGCACTTCATCTTAATTAGGACCTGAAGCTCCTGATCGCTTGTGTCAACCCATGTCTATAGCCGCTATACATAACGCATTTACATTATAACCATGCAAGTTTATTGCCAGATTCTTAGAAAATGCACAGGTAAATAGCCAAGACAATCAATATTCTCTTTACATTTCCAGTTTTCCCTCAACAGAGAAAGAATCCTTAATGCCTAAAACCTCCTTTTAGTTCCTGACCAGTGGGATTCAATGTACTAGAAAAGACCTTCAGTCTCTGTAAGCTGTTATACATTTATTTCCATGACACCCAGGAGCAGCCATGTCCTACAACACTACAAAATGGTTTTGCATTTCTTTTGGGAGGTATTACTCAATGCCATAATCATCGCTGTAAAGCAAACAAAACATGCATTCATTTTCAGTTGCAGCCCATTGAATTTGTTTATTTTCTATAGTCATTCCACATGGAAAAAAATGTTTTCCCCTGGCTCTTTCCCCCTTACTGGCAAAGATTATAGATTCTGTAAGCCAGGCCAATTTATGTTAGACCACTGCAGGTTTTGTTCTGTTTCTCTATTAGATTTTCTCTAAAAGCAACCCTTAACTATTAAGGAGTCTATGAGAAGTCAGAGCAATAGACAACTTCAATGCTAACATGCACACGTATTTTGACTGCATTGTATTTGAAAGGACTTGTGGATAGTCAAAAGGAAGAACAGGGAAGGATGGTGGACCACAAGATCAAGACAACTGGGAAATCAAGAGTTGGAAAAGAACTGAAGAGAGGCAAGAGGAAGAGAAAAAGAGAAGATGACAAGGGATGGGAGAGAGACATGAAAGGTACATAAGACTTTTAGAAGAATGATACAGTAGGGCTGAAAGAAGTCTGCAACGGTCTCCTGAAAAGGGGACAATTAACTGCAACAAGTAGAGTACGTTCTTGACAAAATTTGATTCCACTGTGTGAAGTTTATAGGCTTTACTGTCTCTTCTACCATCAGCAATAGAAAAATATGAAAAAATAAAACAATAACAAAAAAAACCCTCCACAACTGTTTCCCCCATCTTTACTTCTGACCTATCCAGAAACTACGTACAACTATCTGTTATGTAGGAGGCTCAAGCAGAAAAAAAAAATGAAAGTTCATCTTGACATTAGCAAAATCATAAGGCAAATGACCCCAAATGCTAACAATTCTACTCAAAGATGATACACAAATTCAGTGAAATATTAGAATGACGCTATGGCATGGTCACCAAACAATCTCTGAATTTTCTTTCATAAATCAAAAGATACCCTAGATATGAATATGAACCAGCTTATTATATTAAGATTTTTCTGTCTTTAATGAATCATTGCTGTCACTGCTAGACTGTGTGCTACTTATTTGTACTGTAAGTTGCATAGCACAGACCCCCAGGCCTTGCATAATACAGGCCACGTGCTGAAGAACTCCCCTTTACCAAAATCCAGTTCCCTATACAAGCTTTCTACACTTAAAAAAGCTCAAGTATTGCCTCCCACCAAGTGTGTGGAAGGCAGGGGTTAAGTCATTCAGATAATTCTACACTGCTATGTCTTGTCTTCCAAATTTAACTTGGTAATGTAGTGGATAACTGTGGTTTTGTCTTGGGCTTAGAGTGGGCCACTCTTCATTCCAATGTGTAAGGCACCTCCTCACCCTATCCCCTTCCAATGAAACCACCTCACTCAACTTCTGCACTCCGTATGCTTTCTTTTAAAAGCATTAGCAGACTATGAACTCATTCACTAAAGACTTTCCACAATCACCCTTCTTGATCATCTGTCTGTCTGTTTTGAAGGAAAACCCCGGGGAGCAAAGAATTATTCACTGAATTATGCTGCATATTTTATTACTTCCATCAATATCAAACTAACTCTTTGACTCCTGGCAGTATTAAGATTCTTTCAGCTCCAACTCAGCTCTCTTCTGTCCACACTGTGTTAACTAGCATTCCAATGACTGTTGGAATACCTGTTGAAACCAACTTCCTTCAGTTCAGTTCCTAATGCATTCCTCATTTCCTCAGACACTATCTGTTTCTAAATAAGCAGAAAACTGCAGTACTACTCTTTACTAACAACATTATCTTCCAAAACGTGAAGAACCAGCTGCTTTATTTGATTTTCTGCTTTTACGGTGAAGTCCTGCTAGTCTGTGTCCCAGCCTAAGTCATCAGTCCAAAAACGGGAATGCTGTAGAGATAAATTGCAGTGTGACCTAGTTAGAGGACAATTCCCTTCTTGCCAATTTTCATACCCACTCCTCACCAAGGATGGCCTGTTCCTGAGTCAGTTCCTGGAAGCGCTCACGCATATTCTCCAGTTCCACAACAAGACGACGTTCAGATTCTTCTTTCAGATTCAAGGCCTCTTCCAGTGCAGCTTTTTCTGCAACATAGCCTTCAATAATGCCTAAAATCCCAAGTCAGAATGCAAATAAAACACCAGATAAACTCATCTCTGGAAAAACAATTGAACAAAAATACCTGAAAACAAGTAAATGATTTAATACAAACAGTAGAAAGCAACAGTATAAAACAATTTAAATTTCTATTGTATCTAGACTTTCTGAAATGGCTTAAGGAATAAAATGTGTCAATTACATATTTTGACAGATTTTTTTGAGTCTGTTGCTCCACGAGATACCACAAAACACAGGGAACGTATATGAGAGTTTGTTCAGCCTGAGACCATCTCAGGACAGCCTGATAAAATCCCTGCTGGGGGCTGATTTGAAGAAATGGACTTTCTCCAGAATAAATAAATAAAAAGATGAGATGCTAGATGCAGAGACCAAGAAATTCAGGAATGACTCACAGAAAGGAGAAAGGAAATATGTTTTTAGAGAGACCAAGTAAGCTTAACAGAATACGACTGAAAAGAGATGGAAAGCAGATGCCCTGCTTTGAGAGAGAAGCTCAACCTGAAGGCCTTCCATCCCAGAGTGTGGAAACCCTCAAAGATAACCCTACACACAGGTGAAGAACCAGACCAAAAGCAGCGGACCTAAAGTTTTAAATCTCACAAACGGGAGCCAGACTGAGGATGCCCACTCTGTGACCAGTGGCCACAATCATTTTTTAATAATAAAAAGCATTAAATGCAAGCAAATCAAATTCATAGTTCCCAGATAGGAGGTCAGCATCAAATTAGAAGAATTTCATCAGTCTTAGGGCAATGTGACACTACCAACAACTCCGAACATCTTTGTGGCCTGTCTGAACATGCATTTATCAGAACAAGAGACTGGTCAGTCCTCAGCATAAGCACTGCAGTAGAGATGGGGTTATTTTGTTGTACACTGCAGCGTTGGCCAGTGCAACAACTCAGCTGCACCTTTCCTGAGTATAAACAAATTTAGATGGACTACATGTTTTAAAATAATGCCATTTAAATTAAAAAAAAAAAAGTAAAGCAAGCAAAAAAAGACACGCTGAGCCTTGTAGGAATAAAGCACTCAACCCCTGTTTTAGAAATTTAACTAGGGACAAAGGATCATAGTATTTCAAAGCAATTCCTCAATCACTCAAGAACTATTACAGAGAAGAAAAGCATGTCTACTGATGAGATTATCTTTTTTTTTTCCTCCTCCCTTCCACAGGATTGTGCTATAAAAAGCATCTTTCTTTTTTCTGCTTGGTTTTGCTGCATGTTTCAATAGCAGTAAAACAGTGAGCATTATTCAGCTCTCCTCAAGTGAAAAAGAAGTCCTGTCATGCTCAAGTTTTTGTTTGGTTTAAGTGACTGATGTCTCTAGGGCCTTGAGCATATCACACCGTTGTTTTTTGGTTCAAGAATGTCTAAACTAGCTATTTGCCAAAGAAAGAGTAGCCTTTTCACAAAACCATTACATATTTTACATCTCTGTGGGTTGTGTTTTCAAGTTCTCACATGAATCTAAGCAGTTTAGTAGTCCTCTTGCAGGCAAATGCTACTGCAGTGCATTTTGCTCTGGATCATTCCGCTTCTGTTTATAAGCCTGCTGCTGCCTTTTCCCTTACCTTGGGCTTCTTTTTCATTGGGGTTTTCCAAAAACTACTATTAACAAAAACTAAAGCACATAATTCAGAAGCATTTTTTAATTAATTCCTGATAATTTAGAGCTTACAAACTCAATATACTAACATGATATGATATTACATGTAACTTTAGGTTCATCACAACAGTGAAAATCATGTTCAATAACTAACCACAAAATAGCTCTCTGCTGATTAAAAGCCTTCTTGTCTCCTCTTAATGCCTACACTACCATCAAACATTCCTCTGGCTCTTGTTGAACCCTTCTAGGGTCAGACAGGTGGGCTTGTTTAAACTGGAAATGTATTTTCTTTTCAGTTAGACAAGTTCTCATGTTCAGACATGCAGGAATGCAAAGTGCTGTTTTAAAGATTATAGTATTTTTCACACACAGTCACTAGCTTAAGCATAAGAATAAACACTATCATGCCTGCCTCAGGTAAATGCAGTGCTGATGAAGGAAAATAAGCAGTAAATTTGCAACAGAGAAGACCATGCTTCAAGTAACTCTGGGATTTGAAATGCAAAGATGGATTATATAGGCAAGTCAACAACAACAAAATGACAAAAGACCCCCAATATGTATTTTAGGTATTTGGAGGAACTTTAGGTGCAAATAACACTGGAATCTCTTCATCTTGATTTCATTTTCTTACCTTCTGCTTTGTGAAGCTTTAGTGCCAGCTGATTCTTGGCCTCACTTTCCTCACTGAGGCACTCCATCAGTTCCTGGTGCTGACTTACCACTTGGGCCGTTTCCTGATTGCGGCGGCTGAATTCCTCTTCAAAATGTGCGTGGATTTCATGCGTTTTCTCCAGCTAAAAGAGAACAATCACCACCCCACCTCCAGGATCAGTTTCTGAATAAACATACAGAACTACAAGCATTTAAATAAAAACTTGCTCATCAATTTAGTTAGCATTAATATATTTAGGTCCAGATTACGAATTTTTGTTTCAGCACTAGATTAATTTTATCCCAAGCCCCTGGGCATTGTGGCAACTCCTGGTACTCAGAAAAAAAAATCATTAGAGTCTCGTTTACAAGAAGTATCAGAGACCAAATCTTCACTCTAAGAGGGCAAGGATGGACTCACTGAGTCCATCAGTATATTTGTATATTCAGACAAAATACTTCTTCTCAAAGTAGCCAACTCCACAAAGCTTTAAATACATCAAACCTTAAAACAGATTTCATTTTTTAGAGTAATTACACATCTATATAGATAAAACATTATTTTACCTGTTTAGTTGATTCTGTAACTAGTTCCAGAAGTCTTTCCACTGCAGTGCGCAAGCGATGACAAATTTTCAGTGGCATTTCTTCATTTTCACATGCCAGATCTGGGTTTGCAAAAATGCTTTCACACAAGTACTGGCTCAACTCAGACCCCTCATCAGTCACTGGAGACAGTTGGTTGTGTTCTGTCAGGGTTTCCTCCAGCAGCTCATCTATCATGAACAAACAAGCTATTTCAAAACACAGAAAAACAACCCAGAACCAGCCACCAGCTGACATCAGGGACACTGTTTGGTCTTAAAGAAGTAGAGCAAGGCGAAAATTTGTCAACATTAAATTACTTTGATGTTTATAAAACAAGATACTCCCCCTTCGCTATATTTAGGAATATTGTGCAAGTTGTGAAATGTGTTTGAGATCCCTAAAAGCAGAATACATCCCCAGCTTTCTTTACCTGAGGCTCGTATATACTATGCTAAAAAGCAAAATAAACAAAAAACACATAAATAAATAAATAAAATTATCATCTACTCAGCCAACTGTTTTCCAGAACAGTTTAGTATTTTTGTTATTACAAGGATTAAAGTGATAAAATAGTTGTGGGCACAACCTTAGTGTGGAGAAATTTTAAAACATACGGAGAAACAGGTTGCATCAGGAGGTATCTCTGCCTAGAGCCTCCTCCACACACAAAACATTGAATACTTACATGAAGTGTGAAGCCTCCTGTGCATAATATAAAATGCTATATAAATATATAAATGAAAAAGCATTTTCAAAAATATTATGTAACAGCATCCAACAGATTTGTACTCACCTTTTTCTGGCTGATGCTTCTGTTTGGCTTTGAAACACTGCAAGAATCCCATTTCTTCCATAATACTCTGACTTTCTTTAGAATCTCCAGAAGCCAGACTATCATCAAGGCAAAGACCAATCTTTCTACAAATAAGATCCTCAATAGCTATTGTAGCTTTCACCAGCTCCATAAGCATTTTCAAAACGTGCTGATAAGATTCCTGCATTTTTTTCCTAAAAATGAAAGCAGCACTAACATTTCAAACTCTCATACAATCAATTTAAGACACTTAGAACACACTGAAAAATTGACAGTTTAAAAAGAGTGTCTTGCAGTAGCAAGTAGCATTTCTGATAATGAAAATCAAAGAAAATAATTCAGATGTTTCACAAAAATACAACCATTTTTTAAAGGGCAAGTTTGGCAAAAGTCTGTGCCTTCTCCAAAGGTAGATACAGTAGATAAAGAAAGTTAATATTCATGAGGTCATTTTAGTTTCAAGAAAACATATTAATAGTATTTCTGAAGTGTGCAATATTAGACAATTCCTGCTATGGTCACTCATGCCAAAGTCTGAGTAAACCCAGGAATACTTGATGTAGGTACAGAACATCCAAGAACTAGGAATCTTCTATACTTCAATATTGTTAAGGACACTAAATTATGCAGAGGAAGTAACACTGAGCTCTGGGAACACCAACAACAGCAAGATGCCTTCTTAAAGAGAAGTGATTTTTTTCCAAAAAGCTTATTCAGCATGATAGTTTTCCTTTAATCCATGTATTCCAAGGACAAATTGCACCAATTTATGTTGTGTTGAAAAGTTAAAAAAAAAAAAGTCATTTTCTCAATTTCCTAGCTTTTGCCTACATTATGAACAGCAGAAATCCCCAAACACCAGAGTCTCCATCAGTCCACACAAAAAAAAAAAATGAGGAAAAATAAAATGTGTGAAAATATATATATATCTCCAGATAGCATAGTACTACTAATAAATCATGCTTGCAAGTAAAGTACATTTTGCATTTGGGCAGATGAATTCTCACTTTGTTGTCCATTTATTTATAAGAAGGCAGGCAAAAGAACACTAAGCATTATATAACCTAAGATGTACAAACCTTTCATCCTGGGACTGATTGATATCAGATCTCAACATGGCTACCAGATTTCCTCCTTCTTGGTTCTCTCTATCTCGCCGCTGAAGGAGAGTCTCCAGTTCTGAGTTAGTCTCCTCTATTTGATGATTTAAAGACTCCACTTTCTTTTCCAGCTGTGGAAAAACGTAGTTAAGACACAAGAGACAGAAAGCCAATCAGTTTGTCCGAATTATGAACTTACTATTCATCACTTAGTATATATTAAATCATCAACTATTTAGCTGTGCTGCAAATTTGCTTCTAAAACTGTCAGAAACAAAGGACAGTAGACAGACTGAGAATGAATGGCTACTATGTCACTTCACCTTAGCCAATGCAGATTTTGCTCAAAGAAGCTGCTTCATCTGCATCCATATTTAGTGCACAAGTAATTCCAAAAGCATACAACAACTTCATGGCACACTTCTGTTTGTTTTTCATTTGCTTTTACTGTTTACCCCTCAAAGGTATAAAGCAAATGTTGACAGTGCAGTACACAAACCCGAGCAGCAACCTGATCCAGGATCAGTCTCAGACAGCTTTCTCCATTCCTTTATGTGCTGTACCAGAAAACAAGCTCTAGAAACATCTAGGAAATGTTCTCTCCCCTCATGTTTGTGTTCAGATGGCATCTCTATCCCATTTAAAAAGGAAAAACATACACACCTCCCAGATTTTGCTATTTGAGGCATTATCCAAACTGCAATATTACACTCCACGCTACACACTACCAAACAAACCAGTACTATAGCAACAAACTTGGCCTCCAAGCAAGCCAACAAATGAGTCCAAATACCCATTCAGAAGGGAAGTACAAGGAAATAAAAGCATTCTATTCCCTGGTCAGCTTTCACACTACTCAGTAAACCCTGCCTGAAAAGAATGAAACATTGAGTTTCTTTCAGCAGGAGAAATTGTCAGTGTTACTCTTACCACTTTCTAGCTTTTCTACTAAACACGAAAGCCCCACAGCACAGTATGTCCACCCGTTCCCCACAACCTATAGCACAGTTGGTCTAAAAAGCTACAGCACATTTTTCTACAGATCTTTCCCAGGATAGATACAGTTGGCATCAATACACAGAAATCAAAACAGAGTTTTTTTTTTTTTTAAAGCAGTGTTAATCTCAGTGGAAAAAGACTGAAGAGCTCTGAAAAGGTTACGGTATTTTCAAACTATTACCAAGTTTCAGTTTCCTTGTTACCGCCAGAGCACTGCAGCTAGCAAACATTACACATGAAGCATTACAAAATAGCAGTCACCTAGAGTTATGCACACAGCCCTCCCACACACCTTGAGAAAAGCGGAAGTGCTGTGTTAAAATAAAACAGAAAAAGAAAGTTTAAAATCTAGGTTTTAAGTATTTTCCAAACCTGCATAATTTTATCTGCCTTTTCCTGTAGTTGCACTGATAACATCTCCTTCTCCTTTTTGTGAGCGGTCAGGACCTTTTCCCTCTCCTGAATCAACACCTGCTCCTTGTCATGCAGTGAGGTCTTTTTTTCAGCTTCAAATTCCTCCTGCATAAGCAACATATACTTTGGATTACACACCCTTTACAAGAAAAAAAAAAAACTTCCACTCCTAGAAACAAAAGCCCATCACTTAAGGGAAAAAAAAACAAAAAGTACTGCTCAAATCAGCTAGCAGCCACTCACAGTCTAAGCTCTAGCACTTCAACACAAAGTCATGCCAAAACTATGTTTTAAGAACAGTTAAATAGGTAAACACATTATTTAAATGTGCTCACTGGTATCTGCATAATTTCAAATTTACGGAACGGTGATGAGAAGCAGGAACAAGAACTGGCTAAATCAAATTGCTGACAGAGAGATCACACAGTCTGAACAACTAAAAGGTATGTGTGGCGCTGAGCTCCATGAAAGACAAATAATTTACAAGAACAAATCTAAACCCTACAGTGTATATTTACTTTGTTGAGTGTTCTAGTAGCATTGGTCCTTGCTTACTTCAGTGGGGCAGATGTGCTCTAAAGGAAGAAGATCTTGTCAAACAAGAGCAAATTAGGACAATGAAACAAAGAAAGCCCTGGGACTCCTTCAAGGAGAGGCTAAAAAAAAAAAATCCTGGTAACTAATTGCTTCTGTAATGTTCAGAATTAGGAGACGAGAGAATTTTTTTCAGCCATACTATAAACTGAATGTGCAAGTTCATGTGTGAGCAACACATGCAGTACTGAAAGATTCTCTGCTTTTTATTGGTGAGCAAAGAAACCACTTTTTTTCCAGGACATGAAACTCATGTTCATTTTAGTTAGACCCACCTTCAGCTGTGCAATTTGCTGTTCAAGTAGTAGCTCTGATTGACACTTCAGAAGCTCAATCTCCTCCTGGAATTGAAGCTGCTGCTTCAGTTTTACCTCTTCAAACTGAGCCAAAAGAGTTGTCCTCACAGTTTCTACTTCAGATGCTGATACAGAAGCATACATCTGCAATAAGTAATAGAAAATATTTTAATTACAGTATCACATTAAAAAAAGATATAAAAAACAATAAAGTCTAGCTAAACTCTTCGAGCACTTTCACATACAGAACTCTTCAGTTATTTAGCATATCCCATTTTTCAAATTAGTAAGCAAAAAAGCAAAAGTTATAAAATAACAAAGCTTGTGATATTCACAAATTCAAGGAAAAAAATTCAATTTTGGTTGGTGACTTCTCCTAATTAACACACTTTTAAAAGAGAGAAGTCTTGACTACTTGAGGCTACTGGCACTAAAACAAAAATTAATAGACTCAAGGAATTTTTTTTTCCCCCATTTCAATGTTGATTAATAAAAAGAACTTATTTTAGAACTTAGAAACTTCTTAGCATTCATTATAAAAGCAAACAGTTATCCATAAACACCTCTAACATCTAACCTGAAGGCAGGATATATGAGGAAGTGTTAGCTACTACAACGTTACTATGAAGAAAAAAAGAATTTGGGTGTTAGTAAAGGCTGTTCACTTACACAAGCTTGCAACAGTTAATGACCAGTTATTTATGTTCAATCAAAATGAAAGCTTTAAAATTTTGAATTAAAAATAATCTGAAATCAAAGAACATGAAAATCCTTGCATGACAAAAACATTATGAACATTAATTCAAATATATAATGGTAAGCCCAGCTTTGTCTCTCCTTATCTACTAGCACCAATAAAGTCTAACAGCACCTATATAGTCTTATTTCCGAGATTAATAAAACTGAATGTATTCAGTTTTTGGAGTGTGGCTTATTTTATGTTTAGCTAGATTATTCTGACCTCTTGCTCATGTTCATGTTGTGCTTTCAGTTTCTCTAATTCTCCTTGAAGCTCCCTGGAATATTCTTCCTTATATTTCTTAATTTCTGCCTCATGAAGATCCTGAAGTTCTTGGAGTGCTTTTCTATGCTTTTCTTCCATGTGCAGAACCTCCTCACGCAACGTGTCCAAGGCCAGACGTTTCTCTTCTTCCAGCAGGCTTCTTTGATTTTGAAGAGCTCTGTTCAAATCATCCTAAACAGAATTTAAAACCAACAAAAATACTTGTATTTTTTGTACTCCATTTATAAGGCACATATGTTGCTGTAAAAGCTCATAAAAGTAAATATTAGCATTGACTCCTGAATGAAGAACACACACATCATATCTTTGAAATGGTTTGAAATGGGTTCTTTTTTCTTAGTTGTGTAAAATTCCTTTGTTTATCCATAAGTGGTCCTCATCATCATAATCTTCAAAAAGTTTTTATTCTCTGCTTGAGGACACACAAGAACAATTACAACGCAGATTTAAAACTAGGTAGTAGAGACATGTTAAAAAAAAAAAGCCCTTTTTGCCCCTTGTAAGGCTTTCTTCTTAGCCTTAGTGGACACAAAAACAATAAATTTTATGTTTGGGAAGTAAAAGGGTAAGAGAACAGTACATCTCTTCCTCTGGAAGGTCCTGGAGTTCTAGTAATGAGCTAAACCCTCCTACCTCTTTGCCTTGGAAACATCCTTGGATCATTTTGTTAACCCAGCCAACAGCAGAAACCTCCTCACACCTCTGCGCTGGCAATAGTAAAATTTTAGGTATTTTTAAGGACTTAAGTCTATGCCTACTCTCTCCTCAACCAAACCATTTTTGGCTCTCAGAAGCCTATCTGGGAGCTTGGAGATGACATTTTATTTTGTTCTTCCTCTCAAGATTGTGCTAATAAGCAAGTTCCTTAAATTTACGAAGATGTAGCTAAATCTACAGCCTCCAATCTGAATTATGCTAAATATTTATCTCATATACATTTCCCTCACACCAACTAGAAAACTCAACAATTTTCAGTTTTAGTTTCCTGAATCACCCTCTGACCACGTCACGCAAGTGTTAGTGTTTGGCGCAAAGGACGCTGTAGAAACACACCTGAGAACAAGAAAGCAAGAGGGAATTTCCACTCATTTCAACAACTCTCATACTTAAGAGGATACAATTAAATCTCAACCTCTATGCCAAGTTTTCTTTTAACTCACCTTATGAGCTTCCTGGGCTTCAGCAGCCATGGCTTTAAGCTTTTCCATATGAGCAGTAGCTAGTTCAATTTTCAAATTACTTTGTGAAAGCTGAAGTTCTTCAGCATGCTTTAGTTTCAGCATCTCTACCTCCTGAGCCAAGCGAGCTTGAGCCATTTTATCCTTCTCGTGGAACTGTTGTGCGTGCCGCGTCTCTAGCTCTGCAAGAGCCTGCTTGTGCTCTTCCCTTATATTCTGAATTTCAGATAGGTAGGATGATTCCAAGGAATCCAGATTTGATAAGTGTTTAGCCTCCAGCTCGTCGATTTGTGCTTGATGCTTTGTCTGAAGTTCAGCAACAAAAGCTTGAAGCTGACCCTGCTGTTTACTTTCTAGTGAAGATTTAAGTGTCTCAAGTTCAGCTCGGTGCTTGGTCTGAAACTCAGCTTTGAGAGACAAAATTTGCTGCTTGTGCTTCTCCTGTAACTGCTGGCTTTGGAGTTCTAGTTCATCAACGTGATTCTTTTCCAGTTCCTGGAGAAGAATCTCTTGCTCGCTTGTGAATTTCTGAGTCATGGCCTTGTGTTCCTCCATAAATCTAAATTATTTTGAAGAAAATATTGTCATAATAGGCATCAATAAATAGATAAACCATCAACTAAGAAGCAGGCGTTACTTAGCCTCCACAAATTTTACTTTTAGGCTTCACATGCAACACTAATCCAAAGCAAAGTGCGGAGATGATTTCATAGCCAAGTAATTAAGGGCTTGCATGACGGGAATTGTCAATATCTGGTTATTACCAGGTAGACAGACACTCCTATTGAACTGCTCACTAATATAGGACAGCATTCACTCTAGCTCATTAAAACATACTTGGAGAGTAGCATGGAAAAAGCATCTCTGATAACGTGCCCAAAACAAGATATGAATTTCAAGTGTTACTTTAAAGACAGTGTGAGCAAACATTGCCTGGTAAGAGCATCTAGGACATAACAAATACTGTACATAAGCCAAAGTATATACACCATCTACATTTTGAACATGTTATCTGCAAGCAGACAGGCTGCCAGAAGAAAAATCTTTAAATACAAACTGTTTAGACTAAGACATAAAGTTATTCCAGAGCACATGCAGGATACTGAGGCTCTTCAAACTATCTGGGCTACCTAGGGCCTGTATGAAGCTTGATGCAATAGATTTGCATTTGCTGTAATTATTAACTGTAGTATTTGGGGATATGGACATCAATAACTAAAAAGTGATTGGTTATTTAAAGAATAAGTTCCTTATTTCAAAGTTGTCTTAGCGTAATTATCTCCCCAGTCGTTTCTATGAGTGTATGTTTAGGGAGAGAAGAAGGGGCAAGTTTAAAATGACATATGCCAATATAAAAAAGTATTTGTTTCAGTATTTGAATACTGGGGAGAATGAGAAGGGACACACAAATAAGCAGTTGCAACCTGCATCTCTAACCTGAATTTAATTTTGCCATAGAATATTGAATGCGACTCATCAACCTCATCTTTCATTAGGTATCAAAAGCTCTATTTACTAGAAGAAACGCATTCAAATTCATTTAAGTTGTTTGATAACCCCTGAACAAAGTTTTGAGAGTTTTCCATTTATATATGTTTATATATTACATATAAATATATATTTATATATATTTATATATATTTATAAATACTACTATGGGATCTTCAGCAGTGTCTAGTGTTCTTAATAGACAACAAGTAGAACTAGACTAGATTCTGTTAGATTGGCTAGGCTAAATTTAACGCGTTTATATTAAGGAAAACCATACAGGAGATCTTAATGGAAAACCTTACTGTTCCTTAGAAGGAAAAAAGCTTCGCATACAGAAGTTAGCTTGTAACATCAGGTGACAGACCTATATGCCTGTCATTTATTAAGCCTAAAATAAAAAAGCATTACTGAAATAAACATTAGCTCTGATTATTCCCAGCAAGGAATAAATCCCCAAATACACAAGGCTTACTTGTTTTGCACTTCCATAAGTTTAAATGCACATTCTTCTTGCAAACGAAGTGTGGCTTTTTCCATTTCTTTTGCCATAAGTGTTTTGGCCTCCTGCAGCTCCGTGACATACTGCTCCTGAGACTTCTGTGCAGCCTGTGCACTTGCAAGGCTGTCCTCTAGCTGTTGCAAGTTGTTTTGCTGCTCTTTTACCAACTTCTCTAATTCCACTATTCTGGCGGCCTGCTGATCTTGCAGCCGATTCATTTCAGTTTCGCGAAGTTCAAACTCCTTTCGTAAATTTTGCTTCTCTTGTTCTGATTTGTTTTCTAGCTCTGCACGCAACAGTGATAACTTTTCTTCTGTTTGGATCCTCTGCTCCTCCTTTTCACAATTCCATTTTTCCTCTTTTTCTTTATACATCTTCTCTATTTTCTGGACTTCTTCTCTGGCACCCCTTAATTCAGTCTTGTGATCTTCAGTAAGCTTGTATTTTACCTGCAAACAGAGTTATTAAAAATGCTTAAGTATTAGAACCAAACTGCATTCTCTGAGGTATAAACTCATAGATATTTACGGTCTTGGAGAGATTCAGTTCTTCCAGTTAAGTCATTCTTCCAAACAAAAGTAAAGCAGAAATGGCAGGTTGTAGGTAGGTTGATTCAACTCACTATTTAAAAGCAACTATAGGCTGGGGAGAAACAATGGGAAAAAATCCTAGGATTTGCAATTGTATCATTTGTTCTCTCTTGATGCATTGGATCAGTATTGAAGCATGTGCCTTCCCACACTGTGTTCCTGAAGAAAAATGAAGCTGTGGGAAACCAAGCATTTAATGGTAGGGCATCGAATGTTATTCCTTGTAGGCATGTAGCTCCCTTTCAAGACAAAATTACTATCATTAACTCAAAACAATTAAAGTGCAACTTCTATTTCACTTGGCCTTCTCAACAGGATTGAGTTTGCCCAATTCTGTATAAAACGGTTAATACCAATTACCTTTTCCATTTCTTCTTTCAGATGCTTTTCATTTTGCACAGAAATATCTTTTTGCTTAGCAATCTCTTCCTTTAAGTGCTTTATTTCTTGTGAAAGTTCTGCAATGTAATGCTTCTCAGACTGGAGGAGGGAGAGCTTCTCCTTATGCTCTTTCTCCAGCACAGCCATTCGCTCGGCCACCTCCAGTTCTACTTGTCGCGCTGCATCTTGAGCACTTTGTAGTCGCAGTTTGGTGATTTCTGAACAAACAACAGAATAACATTCTAGAATTTATTTTCTTCTAACAAGCCTTATTAATTCACAGCAATAAAACAATGCTGAATGTTGCTAGTGGCACAATTTATCAGTAGACATATCTAACTACAGAACAAGAAACATTGATCAAAATGACTTCTGTTCTGCTGTACTTAATTGTCAACATTATCGTCCATCAATATGGACACACACAGAATAATGCAAAGAATTATATCCTACGGCATGAGTCCCCTTATACCAACAGCAGTCACAGCAGGTGACCATTGTGGGCAATGGAATGGCAGATTACCACAAGTTTTACCTTCTTTTATTCACATATTCTTTAGATAAAGAATTTCCCTGGAGGGGCAGATGGGGCAACTCTCTATCTAAGCATTCTTACTTGGGCAGGTTTGATACTTAGTCTAACAGAGATGGAAAGAAAAAAAAAAAGCCATAAATACAACCACAAATTTTAAAGGGTTTGCTGATCCTTTCAACTGACATACGTTAGAATAATCACGTGTGTCATATGGCTAACAGTGAGGATGGAAGACAAGTTCAAAAGGTTGTGTATTCTACTATGCTCCCAGAAAGAGGTTGCATATACAAGAACTACTGCGATCCCTTACCTGAACCTCAACAATATATGCATTTCATATTGAAAAGATGCAAAGCAGTACATTTATATAAATTATAAGCTTGTATCTTCCAAGAAAAACAGCAACTGTAGAGAAATTATATGAAATCATGTTGCAAGTCTCATTAAATTGAGCCAGAAGAGGGTCTTTAGCCTGAACTTTACAGCAGAAGTTAACTATTACAAATTCTGCCCCCTATATAGTTTATCTTTGAAAAAATCATCCCAACACATGTAACACTTGTGGAATATATAAGATAAAAAGAAATTTGATGAGCATAGATTGCTATAAAATTAATGAAATAAAAACTTACAAAAGAGGTATGGAACAGGAGTTAGTCTGTTCCATGGAATAGACTGAAAAGAAGCCTATTTTGTATGAATATAAAAACACCATGGCTGAAAGACAAGAACATTTCATATACGTATTCATTTATGATTTTACTGTGCTGCTCAAGGCATCAAGAACAGAAATCTGATCAACTTTTTAGCAATTACCCTTCAGTTTAGTAAGCTTCGCTACAGAACAACCAACTGCAGATCAAATCTGTTGGTTGATCTTACCTTTGATATGTTCTTCTGAAAGTCTAGCACGGAGCTGCTCAAGTTCTAGACAATGCTTTTTCTTCATTTCCTCAATTTCTTTTATATATTTATCTGACAGATCCATCTTCATTCTCATTAGGTCCTCCTTATACTGAAGTGCAAGGGAAGACCTTAAGGTATCTAGTTCACACCTATGCTGTTCTTTAAGCTGTATTCGCAAACAGGCAAGTTCCTCCTACGCAAGAAATAGATTAAAAATATACTTTTAGTAGTGAAATAACCATGCCAAAAATGATTCAATGAAAACACTATATGAACCACACTGTAAAGTACCCTCTTCACAGACATACATGTGCTTTCCCCAAACCTGCAGTTTTTGCTCTCTCACAGGCATTCTACTCTCTACTGTGACAACAGAGCACCCAGAAGTAAAGACATCCTGGAGCCATGACATAAAGCAGCTTTAGGTGTTGTTTTACAGTGCAGAGAGGAAAGTCTCACACGCATTTGGAGAGAAAAAAAAAAAATAATCCCCTCTCATCACTGAAAAACTCCCCATGTACGTGCCTCAGAATAAAGAAGTTATGATCTATGATCACATTTCCATATTCATGAAAGTAAATGAAAATCCATGAAAATAGATGGCTAAACAGGAGAGCGACCAAATTAGTGTCTCAAGTGGCAGCAGTGAAAGGCACAATTACTACAGAGTTCAAGACAAGAGAAACAGCATGAACTCTGCAACATGTGAGGAAGAACTCACACTTCAGTAGGCACAGAGTAATCCAAATGCAGGACCATTGCAAAACACCAAAGTTCATCTATTCTGCTATGCTAAGAACTATTTAAAGCTGATAATTTACCATAGATTTGACAAAAATTAATGATGCCTTAATAAATGCCTCAAATACAACTTTAACGGTTTCCTAAAAAATAGAATCAGACATCAATTTTCATATGGGTAATGTAATAACTACAAGAGCTTTAATACAGCAAAATTTTACCTTATGTTGCTCCAACTGTTGATTTAGCTGGTCAAGTATGACTCTCCTCTCTTTTTCAGTGGTCTCTTCAAAAACTGTGACAGAGGAACTAAGAGAACACATTATTAGAAACTTGATTTTTGACATGTGTTACAATATTAAGCTAAATGAGCTTGTCAAACTTACAATATCATACCTTAAATAGCTACAGAACAACCATAAAATAAAAAAAAAAAACATAAAAAAAAAAGGAAAATATCTTCCACATTCATGACTTCTTTCACTGGTATTCTAACTTCAAATCACCTTATCCCCAATCCCAACATACTTAGAGTCTAACAACATCATTATATTAAAAATTTGGAAGTATTGATCATAACCTGAGAATAAAGAAAACAGAACAGACCACCTGATATCCACTGCTTGATCCTGGCTCACATCTGACTCTAACAATGAATATTCCTTCAGTTCTTGCAGTCTCTGATGCAGCAAAGTCAACTCCTCTCTGTAGTTTTCTTCAGCCACACTCAATTTCTTTTCAAAATAAAGTCTCAGTTGTTCTAATTCAGTTTCGTGCTCACTTTTCCTTTGCTGTCGCTGCTGTTCAAATTCTTGCTTTAGCCGTTCTATTTCCTCCACTTGTGAGGCACGGGCCAGGAGCTGTTCCTTTAGCTCTGAGATGGAGGCAAGAAGAACACAACATCTCACTGCATCCTTAAAAGCACACATTAGTACGTTAAACTCTTTCTGTGAGGATTAGCCATATTTCATTTTTTTTGGATCACAGTAAAATACTCCCCAGATCATACGCAAGATAAACTTTCAAAAGACAAGACTTTCTTTCCTCAGAAGATGGCACAAATGTGTTCCCTGCTTACACTGCATTTGGAGAAACCATCAGCATGGAAAGAATCAAAACTACCAGTAGATCGTTAATCACCTGCATTGCACTTGTGCCCCAATTTTGGGTCAGTGACATGTAGAATCCCGAAAAAAGAAAAAAATTAATCCTCACACCTGCTTGTGGTAGCAACTAAGAAGACTAAATTCCTTTTGCACATCCATTGCAATTTTTTATTTGCTGGTGGAGGAATTTTACACAAACTACCTAGAAGAGAGAAGGGGGGAAAAACATCCAAACCAAAACACAAAAAAAATCCCACCCCCCACACAAAGAAGAAAGAAGCAGCTCTAAAATTAATTCTGGACTAAAGTACTAAAGTAAAATAAATCTTGTACTACTTTAATGATGGGTGGGCTACTCACTTGAGATTCTTTTTTTTAAAAAAAATGTTCTTTATTAGAGAAAAGTAGAACTACGGGCAAAAAAATCAAGAGAAGTGAGGAAAAAAGGTTTCTCAGATTGTTTAGATTTAGCTGAATTCACACCAAAACCAGTTGAAAACAGAACTGGTTTTCTAGAAGAAAGAGCTTAGAAGATAGCAGCAGTTTATGCTAGTCAGGAAAAGAAACTCTGGAAAAAAATTGGGAAATGACTGAAGACACCTCCAGAAATTCCCATGCTGAGGAAACATTCAGAGCAGCACTTCAGAGCCTGTGGTCTGACGAGGAACTCTTAAGTGTGGTTTGGCAGCAGCTCTCGGTCTCCTGTGCCCCGCGTGCAGTCAAACTGCAAGGAATCATCTCCACACTAAAAAGGCTGCAGACACTTAGGTCGTGACTTTGCCCAAGGGCCTCTGGTGCTGCTGGCACCCAGGAGATGCTGCAGCGAACCAGCACGTTTCCAAAAGGGCAATGCCCAAGAGCAGCCTCCCCTCCAGATGGGCAGCACGTTTGTGTCACTCCAGTCAAACCACAGCACAAGCCAGATGATGCCCAACAGCCAGGAAAGAGCTGACACAGACCTGGCTGAGTGTCTGTGTTTTTGCACTGAGGTCCAAAAGAAATGCACACTTGTGGTGAAAAATTATCACAGCAAACATCCAAACAGGAAGAATAAGTGCAATTAGTATGTGTTTCAAGCCTGTTTTCAAAGAAAGCAATTGCCAAGTAGAGAGAGCTGAAGAATCAAATGAATAGAGACTGGTAAGAACAACAGTGACGCAGGTGAGGGAAGCCCAATCTTGTACAGATTTTTGCTAATCCAGCAAAATCCACTGGAACAAAATTACAGTTTGAAAGTTTTGGAGTTTTACAGTGAAGTGGCTGTGATTTTTACATCAGAACAATGATTTAGCTCTCTGGCTGCTGTGTTTTTGATCCATCACAAGGATTGTAAAGTGCATTTGCAAAGCATCACTCTAGGAAAGGAAAAGCAGAGTAAAGCCAAATGCCTTTAAGATTTCCACACACAACAAAGATGTATCCTCACCTGAACCAGGGGCTTGTGCTCTGGTCTCACCATCTCAAACCAGATGAAGAAGAAACAGAAAGAGTCCAAAGAATGATAAGTGCGAGTGATTAGAGACATGGGAAGACACTTGAAATGTTAATAAAGGTTAGGACTTCAGAGAGGGAATACAGGGGTTCCGTTAAACACACAAAAAAAGCACCATCTGTGCTATAATTCTGTAACATAGTAATAGTAAAAGCAAAGTATGCCATCTGATGTTGTAGTCTCAATAAATGAGCATACACAGCCAAGATTCTAAACAAGGTCTCTAGTTTTCTCACCAGTATCTGTTCCTGTGTTTATTATGTAACTGTTTGTGCATGTACAACAGATGTGTTATTTCACTTTAGCAAAAGTCAGCTCTGATTAATAAACTCTAAAATTACCCATTTTGTCTAAGTTTAATGAATACACTTTGCAGTTCTAACAAAAATCTGCGTCAGATAAATAAAAAATGTCAGATTGAAATCTGCCAATAATTTTCTTTTAAGCCTTGGTACGTAATCATTCGTTAAAGTTAAAGTTAAATGTAGCATCGTTTTTTTTTTTTACTAAACCTTTACTAAACATAATGTGCAGGAGTGGAGCTCTAAGGCATCAACACAGTTACAGAGAAGCAATGACTGCAACAACAGTGCTGATAAAAGGACACTCTTGTTTCCTGTCAAAGATAATTAAAATAGAAGTTTTTCTTACTTTAGGATATGAAAAAAATAAAAAAATAAAAAAATGACAAGAGTGAATGCTTCCCCACAGGCATAACAGGCTTGACCTCAGAAAAATTCCCAGACATGGGACACTGACCTGTTTCTGACTTTGGAAAATCATGTCATGTGCCCTAACACTAATATATGATCTTTTGTACACATCTATGACATGGCTGTGTTTCTGGTACATGACTAAACATCTGTCATATCAAAAATTAGGACTTGGATATGAACTAGAAGCAAAAAATAAAATGCATCTGTTTCAGCCATACCACTTAACTCCTGTCGGTTTGCACGGGTGCTGTTGAGTTGTGACCAGAGTTGCTTGATTTCTTCTTGTGACCGAGTCTTTAGCTCTTCATGTGTGACCTGAAGTCTTTCCAGCTATGAAAAAAAAACATTTTTTTTAAAAAATAATTTTTTCCAATCGCTTAGTTAATATGCAACATAAACAATCCTGTCAAAAATAGGTGGAAACCCTAACAACCAGACCCCTCACCTCCTAACCAGATTAGCAAATACTGAGTAGCCCTCAATGACTGGTTAGGCCCAGTCCTTGAAGAGAGCAACAGATCTGCTCCAGGTGTTTATTTATTACCACTGGCAAGAATAAAGTGTCAGTGAATGCTAGCATGAACACAGGAAGGAATGACACTGAAGTAGTATAAACGTAGTATGTCTATTCAGAAGTCTTTGAACCATTACAGATTATTCCAGGGCTTTAATCTACTTTATTACATATATTTAACTAGTTCAATAAAATCATAAAAGAAAAAAAAAATTAAGTTGTCCAGATATCACACTTGTTTTGTGACTTTTCAAACTAATGAAATCTTATTTACCTCCTTTTGAATATTCTGTTCCTTTTCTTGACTTTTCAACTTCATATCATCCAGTAGCTGATTATGTTCAGTCTGAAGCTGTTCACGTAATTTTGTGATGTTTAACTGGTGTTCCTTCTCCAAATCTGTACATTTTACTGCAAAATAAAAAATGAGCTCCATTCAGCAGCCAGCACAGTGCAGTAAGAATTTACATGACTAAAACAGAAACACATGCAACCAAATGAGAATGCTTTTTTAGGGTTCACAGGAAGAACCTTCTCCATAAAGGTGTCAGCACTTGAAAAACACCACACACACTTGAATATTTAAGGATTTCAAATCTTGAAGCTTCTGCATGGTGCTCCCTGGTTCCCCATGTCCCATGCTCTAAGCCAGGCAACCACCTGTAGTGCTAGGAATAAGATGAGCCTCTGCTCTCTGCATCTATAAACAAGCATCCTCAAACAGAAGAGCATTTATTTAGAGGAGGAAATAAATATTAAATAATATTAAATAATAATAAATAATAAAAAGAACACAAATATTTCTTCATGTCCTACAATTACAGAATTTATCCCACTACCGTTTTAGTAATATAGTAGTATCATTATTAGTAGAAGAACTAGGAGAGCTCCTCCACACGTACCCCATCTCAACACTGACTGAGCACTCTCTCAACTCTTTGCTCTACCCAAGAAAGAGTTTGCAACAGTGATCTGTAAAATCATGTTTTCCTCAAAAAACTTTCAGATGCAAGGAAATCTTAGAAAAATCAGTGCAGGCTGGGAAGACAACGACACATCCTTACAGCATGATAACACAGTGAAGGCATCTGGCCCATGATAATGTAGGAAAAGGCAGCTTCTACTTCTCAGTTGGTCTCCTGCCTATAAGATAGCATCAGAATCCCAGTATCCCTAAAACTAGATTTCCATTACTTGAAGAGAGTATTATTTCCCTCATCTCTTATCTTCAATAATATTTTGAAAGGAAATATATTCAGAGCCTTATATTATTGTGCAAGCCATAAAGCAATGCAGTTAATCAGGCCTTAAATAAAAAAAGAAACTTTCAGTTTTCTGGGTAGTTTCTCGGCATTGATCCAATCAGGTAAGAATACATGGATATGTTTTACTTTTTAAATAGGTTCTAAAACTCTTATAGTTAACTCTGCTATAACAGCCTCTCAGACTACAACACTTACTTTCAAGCTGTTCTTTCTCAAGGGAAAGACGTCTCACGTCCACTTGGAGTTTTTCTAATTCCATTTCCAGAGTTTTCTGCAGTTCTTTCATTTCAGCCTGGTGCTTTTCAGAAAGCTCTTCTCTCATGCTTTTTAAACGCACCTCTGATTCCAATTCCCAGTCTCCTTTAAGAGTCTAACAGAGCAGGATGTGTATATTATTAAAGCAAATACACTTAGTAAATACTGAGAACTTTTTCTAGGTTTTCATATTCCATCTATTTGTCCTCTACAATTAACAGAGTAGAATGGGACTCTGTTAAGACAACTCTTATTTACTGAAAGCTATTTTATCTTTTCCTGTATGAAGAACAGAATTTGTACCTCTAATAGCTGGATGCGTGTCTCTTCCATTTCCATTTCTATTTTCTTTCTTTGATCAACTGTAAAACAAAAAACTATTTATTAATAAATTTATATTTTAAAAAAATAGTGCTTGAATTGGGAGGCACATATCAGTTGCCTCACAACAGTTTTTTAGTGTAATTAACAAAGGTATATTTGCTTAGATCTACAGACAGCATGATTAAAATAAATAAACAAAATAAACCACACAACACTGAACCACTGCCTTTAGCCCTAAAGACACTCTTTCAAAAGTCTATTGATGTGACATCAGCATTTAACGCTTTAAGGTGTTTAAGTCATCTCTGTCTCCTGAGACATCGCAAGAGAAGAGCAGACAGGAACAAGTAGGAAACTTCTCTAACTTCTGAAAATGCCTAGGAAAGATAATGGAAGAGATGCCAGCATTGTGCTGAGTGTGTTGAATGGATCTGGAGTGGAGTTGGGAAGGAATGTCCTTTAGTGAAGTATCAATACAGTATGAAGAACTCTACTGTTCCCGGTGATGAAACTCTTCAGGAGAACTCCCTCTAACAGTTACAAAAAGCAACTAATCCAATATGCTGCAGTTTTGCACAGGTTGCAACAAAACACCCATGCAGTTAGAAAGAAATTGTTAGGTTCAGACAACTATTTTTACATATATATATTACAAGCCATGTACTCTTGCATAGGCCAGTCTGGACCTTTTCCTGTTCAAGACAATGCCAACTGTCCCCGAAAAGGCCAGCTCTACACCAAGATAGAAATCTGTGGAGCAAAGAACATACTTATGGAATTTCAATTTTTAGCTCATTATTTCTATAATTTAATACCTAATTCTTGCTGATGCTTCAGCATAAGGTCGTCTTTTTCCTTCAAACATTTCTCTCTCATCTTCTCCAGCTCCAGCTGATGGCGGCTTTGCAGAATTGCTACCTCCTGAGCACGTTTATCATTGAGCATCTCCCGTAGTTCCACCAGGGCAGTTTCCTTTTCTTTTCTCAAATTGGACTGAGTCAGCTCAAGTTGAGATGTGTGCATATTATTTAAGCTTAGGCGTAAAGCTTCCAGCTCAAGGTTGTGCAGTGTCTGTAAAGGAAAAGAAACAGGGTTTCCCCTCACTTAATTAAAGGCATTCACTGTTTTTTCAGTTGTTTAGAACCCCCTGAAAATACACTTTTTGCTACAGTTCCCAGCATAAAGTAACATTTTCCTCACCTGTCTCCTATGTCCTACCAAATGCACTCATCTGTCTATTTTCTCACAGCATCTTCAGAACAGAAGACAACTAAATCCCTCCCATTAACTGGCTGTGAAAAAATCCTCTTATTTGCTATGGTTATAATTTGGTTCAAAGGAAAACTCTCTAGTGGTATTGGGAAAAATAGAAGTGGAAATAAAAGTCATGTCTCATGACACTGAAAAAGTGCTGAACATCCCTCATTTAATAAAGGTAATTAAAATACACTGAATGTCTCAGCTCCTAAATAAGACAAAAATTAAGCCAGTATCTAGTAATGAGACCTAAGACTAATCATATTCTTTTTATTTCTGCTTCACGTTTGTGGAAATGTTCAGAGATCTAACAAATATTAATAAGAGAGAAAGTCACATTAACATACGTAAGTTTAGTATAAAAACATTCTTAAATACACTAGGGGGATGGTCAAAAAAGTTTTTAAAATAAAATTTACTTGATAAACTTATCTAGACATAAAATACAGGAAAGCTCTTTGATTATTCAGCAATTTACACATCCAATTTTATTCAGAATGAAGATACAACTGCATTAAAAACCCTGGAGGACTACCATAGAAAATGTCTACTACCATCTACAAAGGGAACAGTTCTAATTTTTCAGTACGTAAAACAGTACATGCTATATGCACAAAAAACAAGGCTAAAGTTGCAAAGTGCAGGCTCCAAGTAACTGCTACAGTAATTCCTGATTCATTATTATACCTGTGATTGGATCTGAGCTTGCTCAATCTCTGCTTTGTGTGTGGCTTCCATTTGATGCTGAAGTTCATCCAACACCTGTTGCTGTTCTTTACTTAGGGCAGCACGGAGCTCCTCCATCTCCTCTTCATGTTTAGCAATCAGCTCAGAAATTTCACGATCGTGCTCTCGTTCATGCACCTGCAGAGAACACTCGGATATACAGCTTGCTTAAAAATATTGTTATTTAGCATTTCGACCTCCCCCTTGCCTCCTTTCTGCAAAAATCAAAGCCACCACTGAAAAAGGGAGAGAAAAAATAAAATAAAATAAAATAAAATAAAATAAAATAAAATAAAATAAAATAAAATAAAATAAAATAAAATAAAATAAAATACCCCACAAATTTTAACATCTCCCAAAGGTTTGTTCTCCTTAAATGACAAACACAAGATGAGGTTTTTTTTCTTCAAAATCACCTGATTAGACAACTTACATTTTTTATTAGAGCAAACTGTTCCTTCCTTTCTTCCTCCAGCTTCTGCTGCTTTTCCACTTTCTCTTTTATTTTGGCATTTAATTCTTCTACCTGAAAAGAGGGATACAAACAGTTGCCATGTCAGCTTCCATTACTCTGAAATGTCCAAACTCCTGCTACTGTCAGGGCTGCCTACCTCTTTCTTGTGTGCCAAACTCACTTTACCAATTTCTTCATGATGCTGAGACTCCATTTTATCCAATTTCTCTTTGTAATCTTTCATCATCTCAGACTGTGCTTCTTGCATAGCTTGTGCAGAACTAACAGACTCTTGCAATTTAGTTTCCAGTTCCAACTTAGTTTTCTTCAACTGAGCGATTTCTTCAGTCAGCTGGCTTTCTTTCTCATTGTATTCAGTGCTTTTTGCTTTTATTTCAGCATTAAGTTTATGAATTTCAAAGTTATTGGAGTTCAACTTTTCCTCATATCGTAATCTTTCACACTCCTGTCCTTCTTTGAGGTTTTGCACTTCTGTGTTAAGTTCATGCATGTTTTTTTCAAGATTCTCTATGACAGCAACATTCTCAGCTAAGGCTTTTTCTGTTTTTATTAGATCCTGCTCCTTGTCAGATAACCTTTCTTCTAGGGTTGTTTTTTCCTTCAGTAAGATTTTTAAATGTTGTTCTTTATTATTGATTTCAGTTTTGAGTGACTCCTGCTCTTTCAGCAACGTCTCTTCTAATAGGCTTTTCTGGCCAAGAAGCTCAGCTATCGTCTGGTTTTTGGCCTTCTGAGCATCAAGCTGGGTTTGCATTTGATCCCTTTGACTTTGCAAAGCTGCTAACTGACGTCCAAAAAGAGACTGGACTTCACTTGTTACAGAATCGGAAGCAGTCTTCTGCTCTTGAACCTCTTTCACCAACTGCTCCTGAGTTCGTAGCTGTGCCATCAACATTTCTCTTTCCTCCCTGAGGCCTTTTACCATTTCTTGCCAGGTAGACTTTGATAGTTGTATTGCAGAGTCTTCAGTACAATCATGTTGGCCTCCATCCTCCTGCTGTTGCTTTACTAAAAAGTTTATTTTGTTTTCAAGTTCTTTCTCTTTCTTCGATTTTTGATCAAGCTCCTTTTCACAGCGGGCCCGGGCCTCACGTTCCTCACTCAGTTCCACGTGCAAATTCGAGAGCTCAGCTACTACCTTTTTCCATCTGTCAATAGCTTCTTGGGTCTCCTGTTGAGACTTGTTCAAGGCTGCCTCCTTCTCATGGAGCTGCTTGGTGAGCTTCACACATCTCTCTAATAAGCAAACGTCCTCCTCATCCTTTATGTCACTGTCACTTATTTTATGTTGCTGCAGGGGGCTGTCTGATAAAAATGAAACGAAGGCTTCTGCTTCCATCTCACTCTCTTCAAAATTTCCTTGAGCTAAATTGCTAGGGTACATTTTCTCACCAGAGTCAAATTTCAATAAAAGTGGATCCAAATCTGTATTGGGTTCTAAAAGCACATTACTGTCTAATCCACATTTACCTTCTTCAATGGTATAACCTTCAGAAGTGTCTGACACGTATGAATGTTCTGGTCTCTCTGTGGAGATGAGATACTTAGCCAACAGGCCTCCATCACTGGTGAAAGACCCTAATTCTAATGAATGTTCTTCAGAAAAGCTATCAGCTTCGTAACTTTCATTTTCACTATTATTTTTGAGTTGTTTCATATTCTTAACTTCTAACTCATCCCTTGAGGAGTCCAATCCCAAACCATGCTGGGACTCCAGTTCTTCATGGACTAATTCTTCTTCACTTTTAAGCTGGCATGGTTTATTAGAAATCTCTTCAAGTTCCCCTCTTTGCAACTCTGAAACCTCTGGCAAAATTAGTTTTTCCCTCATATTCATTAACGTTCTATTGCAGACAATCTCTTGCCTTAGATTTATATTTCTTTCAGCCTCAGCTTGTAGCTTTTCATTTAATTCCTGGATAAACAAATTGAGTTTCTGGATCTCTTCATTCAAGCATTCTTTTTCTTGCTTATATCGCCAGGCTTCCTTGACTTGTTCTTCTGCATCAGAAAGCTGGGATTTGAGGTCAACAATTAAATCTTTGTATTTAACCTCAGATTCATTTTTCTCTCTCTTGAAATCTTCCAGTTGGCTTTCCAGGTTTTCTCTCAATTTTTCCTTATGAATTTCAGACTCATGAAGCCTATTATTTAAGTCAATTATAATGACATTCAAATTATGAATGTCTTCCTCAGAGCTGAGAGCAAAGAGTTCTTTTTTTAACTGTTCAAATTCACTCTTGTATTTTAAAATCACTTCTTCTTCATATACCTGCTTGGCTTTTGCAATCTCATTCCTGTGGCATTTCTCCAGTTCAGCCCTCAAGCTTTCCAACTGTCTACAAGTATCCTTCTCATGATTCGCTTTGAGTTCTTCAAAATGCTGCTGTTCTTTCATTTTGGATATGGATATTTCATTTTTTAACTCTGCTATTTCTGAGTCCCGGAGAGAAAGGGTATGTTGTAGTATAGATGAGTTTAATCTTTCTGATGTTAAAACATTCTGAAGAGTTTTAATACTTTCCTCTTTGTCTTCTATGCTTTTATATAGTTGTTGTATTGTATCTTTCATACTCTCTTCCATTTGGGCAAACAGATTTTCTTTATCTTTGGTATTCTTAAAAATAAAATATTAAATATGAAATATGCAATTGAAATACAACATTTTTTCCCTAAAACTCAAGCTCTTTATCTCTTAACAAACAATTCAAAGTATTTCACTGGCCTAGGCAACTGCTATTCTTTTAAAAAAGCCTTTGAGAGTAGAAAAACATACTGGAAGACTCTTCAAATCTGTCCAAAAACATTAAATTTTCTGAGGAATAACAAATGTATGCCACTGACTCCACAAAGAAGGAAAACAGTGGCTGCCTCAAACTTTAGGTTTTCTGAATCAAAAATACAGGAGCTATAGATATCTGTTCTTCTCACATGCATTTGTACATAGAGAAAACACTTCCTGCACACAGCAGTAGATTGGCATAAAAGCCAAATTTAACTTATCTGTCCTCCCACTTAAAATTTAAGACTTAACTTTTAATTGATGGTTCTGTGCTTAAAAGAATCAGATTTTCCTAAGTAGACCATACTATCACTGCTGGTCAGAGTTAGCATCAAATCCTGAGTGTATATTACGACACCTGCACATTTAGAATTTAGATCTTTAAGATTATTTCTTTATTTCTAGTATTGCTTCTGGGATGAGTGCAACAAAATATTCCTATGTAAGAATTTCACTTTGGTTTGTATCTGTAGCTAACATGCTTATAGGTGGAGTTAAAATGCTTATCTAGGAGCAAAACTTGAGTGGTTGCTCAAACACAACTGTGAAAGTATTAAGTGGTTATCCCCTGTTCATACAGTAGCTTTCATCCTACTGGAATGTTACGCCTGTCATCTCAGTTACATTCCCACATGCATCAGTTCAATAAACTTAGCAAAGGAACTACTTCTAAACAAAATTTCTTAACCTTACACAACAGTTTATTAACAGTGGTAAAGACCTCCCCTTCTGCAAGAAAAACTAATGAAGTTATTTCAACACATAACAGTTAAGGCAATTTTAAACAGTCAAAGCCGAATTCTTCTTACAAAAATAAATGAACTTGCATGAACATGTGAGTTACAATCTTAGCAATTATTTTGCCTATTTGCTGGATATCAGCACCTTCAACAACCAGACTTCAATACTGTGTTGAAGAGCAGTTTTAGTGCTTCTTCAGTACTGAAGCATCAACACTATCTCATGCGAAAATAGAGTGTTCAGTAGATACTCCTCTTCCAAAAGGGGCTATCTTGGCTTGCAAGATCATGACTAAATGCTAACTAGAATTTGTAATTATTTCTTTAAAGAAACATAAAGGAGCTTTTACCTTATGAGAAGACTCAAGCTCTACTTCCAAGTTGCGTGCTTTCTGACGCAGCATCTCCAAATGGGTACCTTGCTCTTTGAGACGGTCCTGAAACAAGGTTGCCTGGTGTTGGGCTTCTAATACTTCATTTTTTTGAGGGCTTTTATTCCTCAACATCTTATTTGCCTATATGCATAAATATACTCACAGTCAGAAGTAAGTTTACACCAGAATAACTCATACACTGACTGTATGTATAACATACACTGTGTTCATTTGATACCAATTCATCCTTTTTCTTTTCAAATGATAAAACTCTTCCCCAAAAGTCACATGACACTTCTGATGTTTAAAAAAATATTATTTACCATATAAATATAAATGTTAATTTACACTTATGAAGCCCCCTAACTGAATCAGGACTCCCAATGAGTTGAACATTCTGGTAAGAGGCCAATGAACAAAAGCAGCAATTCATTTTCAAAGCTATTTTCTAAAAATACAGTCAAACCCAATAAGATAAATACATTTAAAGCAGTATTTGTTCTTTCATCAGTTATTGAAGTTCACATTAGGCTTCCACAAGGGACCTGCAACACATTATCAGCCTTTATTTAGAGTATTCCTGAAGTGCTATTTAGAACCTTTATCATTGTCTTTCAGGACCTTATGGAGCAAATACTAACAATCATGATTTCTGGAGTAACTCTCTCTATTATAAAGTACTTTGTCAATGACATTCAAAAAAAAAAAAAAAGGGCAATAAAGGAGAGAAAAGCAGCATTTCTCTTTAGAGAAAAGCAGTATTTCTTTTCCTTTTCCAAAGTTAGAATCCCATTCCATAGAAGATTTGTTTTAAGCACATGAGAAGCAAAACCCCATATTTCTTTTTTTTGTTGTTGTTTTGTTTGTTTTTTAAGCACTCCTGGACATTTAAGACATCTGGCCCTTCTACTTTGATACTTATCTTGCAAATCTTTTGCAACAATGCTCCTAAAAAGCAAAAAATGAAATATTCAGAGAGAGGAGCCAATGTAATACTGAAGATCACAAAACAGAACTTAAAACAAATTAAAAAAAAAAAAAAAGAAAGGATAGAGCATATCATAACACTTAGGGGTTTCATATCCCCAATCAGCATTATCAGCAAACATGGGTTCCTGTGCTCAAGAGCTGCATCACAGGAGCAGCATGAGCCATCTTTGGTTATTTTAAACCTCCTTAGTGGCAAGTCATTTTTAGCTTTGGGAAATACAGGGTAGAGCACATAACTAGGGAACTATAATTTCTAAGCTAATACACAGTAACTTGTTACAGTGAGCTAAACTGATGACAAATAAGCCAATATTATAATAATGATTTCTGCAAAATTCAAGCCAAATTAGGGTAAAATTCCCTAAAAACAGCTCATGAAATAGGAAAAAGAAAAAAAAAGTTACATATTCTTTAAGAACTATGAAAAAGAGCTAAAATGTAAACTAGGAAGTTTTAGTGTATATGTTTCTAAACCTGTTCTTGTTCATTTCATAAGGAAATAAACATTACAAAAGAATCACACCTGATGTAACTGAAGTTGTAAACCATGGATGGCCTCAGCTATACGTGCAGCCTCTTCCTGGAGGTCACTGTGATCCTGCCTCGCCTGTTGAAGGCTGCTTGTTAGCTTTCTTATGACTTCATTCCGTTCCTGGACAACACTTTCCTAAATAAATCACAGAAAGCACAACTTGAAAACCAAAATATATTAGGAGCACAGTTACCATCATCTGTTTCACTCTACAAATATTTAGGCGTCCCAAAACAAGTACTATTATCCCTGTTATCCACTTTTATGAAACATACCTGAAGATGCATAGAGTCACTATGCTGGGTAAGTTCCTCTTGCAGCTCATTCATCTGTGCAGTGAGTCTTTCGACGGCTTCCTGTTTCTCCTGAAGTTTGTTTTCTAGCTCAGCTATTCTAGTTTGACACATTTTATCACCAAGCTGACTGCATTCTGCAGCAGAATTTACCACTGCTTTCTTCATTAAAGCAAAAAAAAAAAAAAAAAGTCATTATAGCATGTCTATTTTATAATGGCTCTGAATATAAATTCAATTCCAAGCTTATATTGTTTTAAAAAAATCAGCATTTAGATTTGTATTTAATATATTATATGCTAAAACCTCAATTCTTAAAAAAAAAAAAAAATACACCAGAAATCATACAGTTCACATGATAATGTATTGGGCAAACTTAAAATATGAAGAAGAATGATTTGATTCTATAACATCAGACGTAGCAAAGTTCCATTCTGACATGTTTGGGTCTCTAAGTGACTCTTACTCTAAGTGACAGAGAGATTTCTGTGCTGTTACTCAGGATAGCCATAAAACAGTAATAATAAAACTTTCTTGATTTAAAAATAGATTCAAGAATAATTAGCCAATTGCAAATAAATATTAGCAACATATCATGTGAAAAGTTAGTTTTAATGGCTTTTATCAATTCAACAGGAACAAAGAAATTGAAAGAAAAGAATTTTCTAATCAATCTTTTGAGTAATAATTAAGGAATTGCTCTTAATTTCTTAGAAGCAACATCATTAGCCATCTCATGCGTTTTGTGTTTTATTTAAAAAAATTTTGGCCTGTAATGCCTGAAACAATTAAGAAATAAACACTCTTTTCAGTTACCCTCTTCAGTTACAGTAATATTCAGGTATGTAGACAAGGTCATCAGTTTCACTAATAACACTCTTCTTACCAGCCAAATTCTCAGCTTATTATAGAGATAAATACAAGCCTTTAGACTTCAAAATAATGAGATCACACCACTTTTATAACAAGTATAACAACAATCCTCTATGACTAAATCATATATACCATTTTAATAGTCAACTACAACCTTTTACCAGGTACGTAGCAGCATGTGTCACTAAACATACATTCTTTCGCACTTACTTCAGCTGCCTGATCATTCAGCACATCCCAATTGGACAAATCAGCACTTCCCTGTAAAAGAAACAAATAAAACAGTCACTATACCATGGTCATTTTAAGATGCATAGGGAAAAACAGAATTATTCTGGTACTCCTCTGGGCATCTAGGCCAAAAAGATCGCACTTTTATACAACAAGCAGTGAATGAGAAAGAGAGAGGGGGACAGGCAGAGACACAGGGATAGAGACAGGGACTTCTGAAACTCAGATCATCTATAGTTGAATAAAATAAATACAGAAGTTTGGAAACGGCAAAGAATGCCTACTTCAAGATTTAGTCTCCTCACAGATATCAGAGGTTTCACCTTCCATTTTCATGGTTTGCAAATGTAATTAAATGCTCCTTAATTTACTACTGAACATTAGTCAATAAATAGACAGACTGAGATTATTTAACAACCATGCTTAAAAATCATTCAGACAATTAAGCAACAGTATTTTCGGATGTATATAATTCAAGTAGCACGATATTTCAAAAGATATTCAGCTCTCACTAAAGCCACCATTGCCTCCTCTGTATTTTGGGCTTTTATTAAGTAGTTTCCAATGACCACCATCTCCTTAGGGGCGTCATAATATTTCTACTCTCTGTGCAACCTAGAGAGTAATTTAATTTGATTTAGGAACAGGCTATTCTGGCAGAATTTCTTTAGTTCTTTATACATGAATGCATAAAATTCATGTTCACAAGAAAGTGGCAAGAATGACACTATTGATGTTATATTTGACAACAAGTTACTGCGTTTTTTTCCTAGTGCAGGACAGCTTAGCACACAGCTTCATGAAAATCTCAGCAAAATCACTCTTAAAATCAAGATATCCTGAAAACATCAGGCCTATACATGCTACAAAAAGCAGGACAACACATGCTAGTGGCATCCTCAGGTAGTTCAGGTTTCTGAATACACTACTGTCCGGTGCTACTGCTCAATGTTATGAAGCTGCAGGAACAGTTGAGAGCTGTTTTTTATGCAGGAGGCATTGCCTATTCCTTGCAATATATTGCAAGGAATACTTGCAATATTGTTGTAGCCAGAGAGATGCCTGGTACCTTCTGAGGTTTTTCTGAGCATTAGCCTATCACTTCTGAAGCAAATGAGATTCCTAAAAAAACAGTATCCAAAGCTATGTTTTGTTTGTATCTGTTGGAGGGGTAGGTAAAAAGGCAGGAAGGGAGGGAGAGAAAGGGAAAGAGTGTTTTGAGATCATCTAATCCAAAAACCAGTACAAAAAAAACACCTTGCCTGGGAGCTGAAGCAAGCAAGCAACCATTTAATTGAAAACATTACATGTATTAGTCTATTAGCAACTCTCTACAAATCACAGCATGTGTCTTAATGTTTATTAATGTGACTACACGGTCACCTGTAGGGAATCACAAGTACAAATATACTGAAATACATCAGGCACATGAAAAGACACATTAAAAAAGAAAAAAAAAAAAAGAGATGCCAGAGAATCTAGCATAATGTCTATGCTGGCTTCACAATGGTTACAGTACCTACTTAAAGCATGTTTGAAGAATTTTTTTCCCTAGAAAATTTTAAGCATGTTCCAGACAGCAAGATGATACGAAGCCAAATAAATGCTGTATGTTATGAAGTCATGACACTTTCACTCATCTACTGCACATCTCAAAATGAATTTCCAAGAATTTCACAGCTCCAGAATCAGAAATCTACCAAAGGAAAGTTCATAGAAGTAAAAAGAGAGAGACCTCAATTTAGCTGGCTCATAGCAGACAGTTTCTTGACAATGCAGTCCGTCCATCTCACATAATAGAAATTCAGCTACTGAAAAGTCTCCATTTTTTTCCCCAGTTACTTACAACACTTGAAAGAAATTTTTTTTATTACATGTGAAAATGCACTAATTACTGCTTAGTGCCAGCCAGCTGACAGTGCCAGAGATAGGAGAGCTAAGAACTATTGAAATAAAACAATCATCTAGAATACTTGTTATCTGCAGATGGGGTGAAGTGAAACACAAGAAATATTAAGATTTACCTCTGTCTCTGTTGTTGTCTCTAGCAGGTTGGTGTCTTCAGCCTCACTCTCTAGACCTTTTCGAGCATCTGGTGGAAAGTCACAGTCCTGGGCCACTAGTGCGTGCTCTTCTTTCGGAACGTCATGCGTGTGGACAGACGAGCCCTTCCTCTTCGCCGTCTTTTTCTGCGACTGCGTGATGCCACTTTTTGTTTTTCGCTGTCTGAAGTAAGCAAGCTGTGCAGAAAAGATTGGAAGAGGTACAGGGACAGGTAAGTGAGGAAAAGGTAGCAGGACCACAAGATTAACACGGTCATGGGTGGCAAAGAATATCCTGCCTTGATGAAGTATGTACATCTGCAGAAAATCTGCTTTATCTTCCTACTTTCTACACTTCCAGTATCTAACTGGATAACTGTACAATTAATCAAGAAATCCCTCAACGGTACTAAAAACTCATTTCAATACAAGAATCGAATTTTACTCAGTGAGGCTTCATGTGTCAATCCACCATGGCAGCAATAGAGATTTGTAAAGCAATAAGTTGTTCATATACTAGAATCATGGAAAAAAAAAGAAAGAGGAAAAAAAAAAGACAAAGAAAAAAGAGCAGCATCACATTCTTTCTGCAAGACTGGCAAAAACAGCAACCCTCAGAAGTGTATCTAAATAGATCTTTGCCAGAATAAGCGTTAAGGTTAAAATTAACGCAAGTGAGTCCTCACGCTCCTTCCCTGTCACCCCCTTAAGAGAATACAGCAAAACTTCCTAGGCAGAAAGCAGATTGTAGTACATAAATAGAAAATTAATTAAGCCAGGTCATTTTAATTTCTTCTGTTGAAGAATCAGATGCTCTACTTTATCGGAGTATCACAGTTCTATGAAACACCTGGGACTTGCAAAGAATGTCACTGAGAGCATTTATTACACAACTTTCCTTAGCACCTTAAACAGCTTAAAGAAGATAATCTTATTTTTAACCCAACTATTGTGTTTAGGCAGCATTTCCAACTAACACCTCGCAACATAATTCCAAGACATCCCTCTAATAGGGCAAAAAGCCTTCTCCAAGGTTACAACCACAGGTTATCAACTACCCATTTAAAATGTCCTTGCAGTAAGATAAAACATATAGTCAAAATGATAACAGGACATAAGTATTCATAGCTGCAACGTACCTGCAATATACACTCAAAACAATTGCTTCATAGCTTTGTTTTCCTGCAATACAGCTACAATATAGAAAGAAGTCTCATTCATTTCTTTTCATTCAATTTGTGAAACAGATAAAGTTGGGTCCTTCCTTATTATCTATATAAGGTTTTGTTACAGAAAAAAACAGCTCACAGATATACAGTTATATGCCTCATACACTGTGCAGCCTGTTTAATTTTTTTTCCTCCCTTCTTTTGCTTCAGACAGACATCAGATTCCTACATCAGCTGTTAGGGCATTTTTCTACAAAGAATTTATTCTTTTAAGTTCAGTGGTTCCTGAAGTTACTATTCTGGAATGCAAATTAAACAAACATTGCCAGGTAACATGTCTTTCAGCACAAGCAAAACGAAGAGAGCAGTAAATAAAGTTGTAACAAGGTACAAACACTATTCTCTGAAATCAAGTGTTAACTCTAGCACTTAACGGACGGCATTATTTGTCAAAAATAATTATTGTACTAATTAACTAGATGACATGGGGAAGGAGCACAGGAGGAAGCCTAATGAATAACAGCAAGTAGAGGAAGATGCTTGAGCAGGATAAAACAAGAACAGGTGCAAAAAAAGATCAGAAAGTGTGAGAAACAAAAGGCAGAAAGAGTGGACATCCAACAGGGCAGTAAATGATTTGTGGAGTAAGATCAAGAAAGATATTTCACATTAAAATACCGAAATGTGCCATGACTGAACAATTTTTAAAGGCACGACTTCACCTCAAAAAAAAAATCACTTTGTTAGTTTATAGACATTAATTATGTGTATGAGTGTGTATACACACACACACACACATCATGCAGACACTATCAACTAATCTAAAAGTCTAAGGAACTACTTGGAGAAAGGAATTTGCTGGTCCATGAAAGGTATCTATATTCAGACACACTTCAGATTTATGAGATCACTGGATGGTAAAATCTGTGGTCTGGGTCAGTAGCAAGTTTCCAAAGCTTTTGATCAACCATATGAATTTAAGCATCAGGTAAAACCATTACAAGGTACACAGACCATCATCCAAAAAGCAACAGCACACAGGAGCACCGAGGAGTCACACCGATCCGCCCCCACCAGAGAGGTTTCCTCATTCCTCCCAGCACGACACAAGGGCGCTGGCAATACAAAGCATCCCAGGCCCCTCCGGACAGACCCAACTCTCAGTTGGCTTTCTCATGGCATGTGCCAAAGCAAAAGCTTCACTTCAACCTTGAAAAGAGGGGAAGCCACGGCCTGCCCCACCTGACAAACTGCCATGGTGACATGACACACTTCTGTCACAAGCACCCAGGGGCACTTGTCAGCACTCGGGAAGGCTGCTGCAAACCCTGCGCAGTCCAGCTCTCCCCAGTTTACCTCAAACATCATCTGCTTCTTCACTTAACACGCTACATGCTGCAGAAATTGCTACCCAAGCAACATCCACAGGAAAGGCAACGGAGCAGAACATCACATCAGCATGCAAAAAGAAACAGATCATTCGGACAAATTTTAGCCTCTCTTAGATACAGTGAAGATGAGCATGGTGCACTCTCCCATAAGCCAGGAACCAACTGCTAGAGTTTTTCAAACTGATCACAAGCAGGGAAGCTTTGCTGGGAGAACGCACAGTCCTTTTGCAAGTCCCCATTATGTTAAATGAAGGAATAGCAAGATCTTCTGACATGTGAGGAACAGCACACAGCTGGTTAACATGCTTTCTAACTAAAAATAGGAGATCCATTTATCATTAGCTACAAAAAAAAAAAAAAAAGATTCTCTCTTCAAAGCATAAATCTGTGATCATTTAAAAATGGCTATCAGTACTGCACTTTATTAAAGACAGTAATTTTAAGGGACTGACAATGCTAGGAAGTTAGCTGCCAAAAAGTCACAGTTTCTAGTTAATGCACTAATTGGAATTATGGCTATTACTCATTGATAGCTTTAAATACACTTTAATAGTGAGTCTTTATTTCTGTATGAAAGAGAAAATAGGCATTGTTTTACAGAGGAAAACATTCACATTATAGTCATTTCCCTGGTTATTTTTCAGCAGCATAAAAACCGAAGGATGATAAAGAAAACAAAACAAAAAAAACAATCAAACAAACAAAAAAAACCCACACAATTCACACCTCTGGTTTCTCATAGGAAGAGAACTAAGGCCAACCTATATTAGAGAGCATGAACCTGGCCCATGCAGACAGCCCGGCACTCCCAACTCTTCCTGTCGGGGCATTCTTAAAAGATGCAGTGACACAAAACACAGAGTGGATGCAGCTGCAAATTGAACATTTTTGTGTCAGTCCAAAAAAACTTTTTGTGCTGCTGTAGGCCTGCAGCACAGGAAGATAATTTTGTACCACTAGAAACAGCTCACATTGCTTTCTCCTTTTCAAAAATCCTATTTACAGTCCTGCAGCTCACCCACCCAGAATAACTATATCTTACCATGGACTTGAGAATATAACTACACTCGACAATACCAGAGGCCCATCTATTCCTGCAGTTAGCCCAATATCCATCTATTCCAGAAGTCAGCTCTTCAACAGCAGGGATAATAACTAAGGGTATAAACGCAGGGCAAGCACCTGGCCATGTGTATTAGCAAATGGGTGAGCATTCTGCGGAATCTGCTACTCACACATTTGGCTTTCAAAGCTAAATGTAATACCTGTGTGCTTAATGAGTTACAATGGATTTTTCTTCCATTAATTGGTCCAGCTGTTTTGTAAAAATCTGAGCTTCATTTTTGGTGAAAATAATGGATCTTCGTGACATTTTTATAAGTAGAGGAAGCACTACACCTCCCTCTGCTTTTCTTAATGTTTATCTCATTGTTCTGCATATTATGTTTACGATACTATAACAGCAACAAGGTAATGTGGAAGCTCTTTTTTTTTTTTTTTTTTGTAGAGTATGACATCCTTAGCATAATGTTTAACAAAACAATCCAGGATGCAACACTGACATTGTGTGCAAACCTGAAATATAACGCAAGTCTCTATTTTTTTTTCCAATGGCAAACAACAGCTGTACAACAGGTGTGAACTAATAACTCATTCATAGTAAGCATATCACTTTTTTCTAACTAACTATAAACAGACACTACGCTCAGTTTTAGAAAGGAAATGTTCATAGAAGTTCTGCCACAGCTAATCTAACTTAACAACCTGAAAATCTTCTGCTCTCAAAGTTCTCTCTCAATCATCATCCAAAAAGTAACTCTCTCCTCCCATAGGAGACAGTGCCCATGCTGCACATGTCCGGGCAGAGAGGGCAGGGAACTGCTAAGGGAGGGAACAGCTGGTAACGTGGCACCTGGGACAGCACCTGGGTGGGACAAGCCAGCACGGATGAGCAGTGCTGAGCACCATCAAGCTGCTCTAGAAGCTCCAAACTTGAGCAGCGGCTGCTCCCCAACAACACCCATGCTCTCCACATGGGAATGGCTATTGGAGAACAACTGCACCCAAGGGAAAAGGGGCTGATGCAGTTCAGAAGACCTTCCCCCCCCCCCCCCAGCTACATCCTCTGTTTCACAGCCACTGGAGTTGGGAGAAGGGGGAAACACTGGAGCTAACGTCTGGAGAGCTTCTGCCTCCTTGAGTGGACAACACTGACGCTATTACACAGGGGTAGATTTCTAGTGGACAACACTCATGCTATTACTCAGGGTAGATTTCTACAGGTTTAAAAAAAAAAAAAAAAAAAAAAGATAGAGTGATATCAGCCCACAATGCAACAGGAATACTGAAAATGCTAGGATTTTTGTTTTCGTTCAATCAGCTTCTTGAAGAGCATCTTTTCCCAAACACAGCAGAAGTTTCCACGAGCACTAACACTCATCAGGTGCCAGCCCTGTAGCAGCCAGCAGCTACCGGCAGGACAGGATCTCTGGGCAGCAGTCAGGCCACCAGTGCTCACTGCAGCTACCCCACCAAGCTACCTTTATCCTTACCCTCCACAGCCTGTTGGAGGTGCAGGAAGCTCCAACAGCCCAGCCGGGAACAAGCCAAACAGACACAGCTGCTCAGCGACCAAACCACGGGCACAAGGGCAAGCAGACCTGCCACTAAGGTAGCAAAACTCGCAGTTTCTAATTTTGGGGCAGGAAACCTTCTTCTAGAAATAGAGGGGGGGTTTTTTGTTTGTTTTTCCAGAACA